TTCTGGCACCCCTATTATTCGGATGTTGGAATGTTTTAAGTTGTCCTGGAGGTTCATAAGCCTCTCCTCATTTTGAATTCTTGTTTCTTCCTCCTGTTCTGGTTGAATGTTTATTTCTTCCTTCTGGTCCAAACTGTTGATATGAATCAGTCCACTGAGCCACACCAGCCAGGGCTCTTCTTGCTTTCTGACTTAACTTTTTCTTCTTCGTTGTGTTCCAAATCATTGACTTGATTCTTTGCTTCATCCACTCCACTGTTGATTCCCTGTAAATTTTTAATTCACTAGTGTGACCTTCATTTCTGCCTGCGTCTTTTTTATTCTTTTTTTAAAAATTTAATTATTTTTCAAGTAGTTTTCTATTTCTCCCATCCCAGCCCACCCTGCCCAGTGCTCCCTACCTCCCTCCCATTTCCACCCCCCTTAGTTATTGTCCCTGTGTCCTTTATACTTGTTCCTCTAAATTTTTATTCTGGTGAAGTACCCAGTGTGTTCCTTGAGCACTCTGATAACTATGTTTTAAACTCTGCATCTGATAGATTGTTTATCTCCATTTTTGTTTAGTTCTTGTTCTGGAGTTTTGTTCTGTTCTTCCATTTTGTCCATATTTCTTTGTTTCCTCATTTTGGCAGCCACCCCCCCCCCCATGTTTCTGTGTATTAAGTGGAGTTGCTTTGACTCTTAGTAGGTTGCCTAATGTAGAAAAGTGCACTGTTAAGTTGGATGGAGTGGAGCCTTAGGTAATCACCTGGGTGGGCAACCCATTTGAACCATGTTGATGGAGTTTCAGATATGCTTTCATCACTCTGTGGTTCTGTGTGGGAGAGAGACTTGGCTGCTGCCTGGCCTCTGAAGTTTTGCCCAGGACGATGTTGTCCCTGGGCACTTGCCCTCATACCAGACACTTCACTTTCTCCCCAAATGCTATTGGTGCCCTTCAAGCTGCTGCCCCAATGGTGCTGGAACTTAAAGGGGGCGAGTCTGCCTATGTCCTAAGTCTGTGTAGACCATTTAAGAGGACATGCCTGAGAATCCCACAGTTTATTCTGCTTCCCCAACTCCCACTGGTTTTTACAGCCAGAAGAAATAGGAACTTATCATTCTGGCACTGGAATGTTGTGCTGGGTGATCTGAGATCCCTCACTCACAAAATATATCTCCCAGTTTTTGTCCACTACATGTGGGTTTGGACTGCCCATTACACATCTCAACACTTCCTAACTTGCCTGAATTAACGTGACTTAATTCCTCGGTTATCAGACTTCTATACAGCTCCATTTTCTGACTATTCTGGATGATATTTGTTTTGTAGTTAAACTTTTTGCTGTGGTTGTTCAAGGAAGAGATGAGCTGTCTTTATGTCTCCATCCTGTGATTTTGGGTTATCTTCTTAAATGAAAATTTCTTTTTAAAAATGTGAAATTGTTTTGAAATAAATTATTACAGGAAACACCAATACACAAAACCGAGTTATGTTTGAAGTGGTGAAAGATGGGGCTTGAGAAGGAACATAATGAGGAACCTTGTAAACAAGGATATGATTTCAGAATAAAAGTTTAGATTATATTCTGAAAAAGTGGGGGAACTACTAAAAGGTTTTATGCAGGTGAGTGACACAATTAGATCTGTGTATCAAAGAGTCCTCCAAACTGCTCTGTAAGTACAGCAGGGTAACAGTAGAGGCACTGAAACTGATAGAAGAGTATCACAATAGTCTTAGCAAGATACTGTTTTTTTGGACAAGGGTGATAAAAGTGAAGACGGTTTTGTGGTATATCTTCATGATATACCAAGAAAATTTAGTGATTAATAGAAATGTGGTGTGAAAGAGAAGATAAAGCAGCATCAAAAATAATGGCCACACTCTGGTTTAACAAGCATGGCCAAGGGTGGTACCATTTGTCATGAAAAGGGAACAGTGGAAGAGCAGATTTTGAGGGGAAAATGATGGGGTCATTGTGAGGCATCTGTATGGTAATCAAGTGGGGGAATATACAGATGACAGGTGGACATTCAGATCTGAAGCTCAGGCAATACATCTGATAATTGTAATCCATTAAGTTAGCAACATACAATTGGAAACCAAAGCCTTGGGAATGAGATTTTTGAGTCAATGGGGGAAAGAACACCTAAGACACAGGAGAAACACTGCATCAGTTAGGGTTCCCTGAATGTAAAGAACAAAAATCAACCCCGGCTACAGGATCTCTCCATGGTTGTGTGGGCATACCTTGTGCAGCCACATGTAGCAGGCTGCTCAGCCAATGTTATTTACTGAAGGGACATGAAGCAGTTCACAAAAATTAGAGCAGCTTAACCAGGAACCTGGGAAACTGAGGAAATCTCAGTAATAGGAACTCATATGCCTCTTACATATTATCATCTGGTTAGCATGTGAGGGGGGTAACTTCTCAAAGGAAAGGTGAGGAGTTATTCTCAAAGGCAGAGGGAAAAGACACTGGGTAGGTAATGCAGCTGTCTACTAGGTTCTATGCCTTGGCTGCCAGTACACGGATTCTTTATTGTGAACAATTTTATAAATGCTTCCATTCAACACACTGTAGAAAAGGCATTCATCTTCTCCCCAAGGGAGATAATATAATTTCTAGTCATCACACACAGCATCAAGTCTAAGATTTCTGGGTGACATTCATTCTCTAGTTCTTAACCCCATCTTGATAACCTACAATTTATTGATACAGTTAACCTTCACCAATACATCCATATACATTGGTGAGGGGGATATTGCCAACAAAACCACTCAGTTCAAATGGAGGGGAAATTAGATTGGACTAACTTGGATCATACTTGCACTTCAGCCAGGTGTTAGGGGCAAAGTACTAAAATGGAGAGGAGAGGTGGATAAAAAGACAAGGCAAATTAAGAGATATTGGGTAAAGGCTATAGATCTTATTTCTACAGTAAGTCACAGAGCTGTAATTGATACTTATCTGCTGTTTCTCTGTAAGCTCTATAGCTTTTCTTCAGGTAAGGTTTTATTTTTCCTTTTTGACTAATAAATAATAGGAAGACCCCAACTTTCATTCCTGATATATGCAGGGATTGGTATTTTCCAAATCTTTTGAATGCTCCCAGATACCAGAATTCCACAAGCCTCTTTTTTGATTAATGCCTCTGCAAATTCCATCAGCACTGTGATTTTTGCAATTTGTGGAATTAAATTCTTGAATTGCAGTTTTGGAATTAAACACAAAGAGATTCATTCATCCAGGATGCAGAAAGGCCTTGGCTTTTTTTCCCCCATGCCTGTAGGTAAGTTTCTGGGTTAGAGCTTGTTAACTTAAATTGTCCAATGTAACCCAAGTAACTTAAACATTTTAACTCAATGGTTTTGGCCTTATTCAATTCTAGTGGTCCTATCGTCAATAGCTACCTAGATATTTAAATTTTGCCTGTAACAGGCACACAATTCTAGATATCAAGGGGAGGTAACTTTACTTGCTGTTTTGTTACTATAAACTCTTCACTGCCACTGCTGTGTCCCCCCCACCCGAGGGACATAAAGCAAGAATTATTGCCTTTAATTTAGTCTCAGTACAATAATCACTTACAGATTGTTCATGTTCCTGAAAGTCTAAAGCCTATCATTTAGCTGCTGTCAATCTCAAAAATCATTCAGTCATTTGGTTGCAAGCAAAGAAATCCTCTTTGGCTTAAAAATAAAAAATTAAAAATTAAAAAAAAGGAAACATAGGAGGATATATGGTAGTCTATACAAAGGCAAATCTACATTACCAGGCCTGACAATGGGAATCAGGGCACCTGTGGGGATGTCCCTGCACCCACTCTTAAATGCTTTCCAGAATGACTCAGGTCCTATATACTTCTGTCTGTCACCTGTCTTTAAAACTCAAAATCCTGGCAGATGGGGAAGTTTTTATTGGACAAGCTCAGAGCACACATCCAACCTCAGCTAGGAGGCCAGAATACTGTAATTTAGTTTCATTGACACCACAGAATGGGAAGTAATGGTCCAAAGGCAAAGTGTGGATCTGTCACTAAAGGAAAGGGAAAATGATTTGGGGGAGGCAAAAGTAAAGGGATGTCTACTACATCACTATTTTAATGATGGGAAGATGGGAAGAACCTTTGCACCTAAAGATGTCAAGACACTGGTGGGAGTTGTCCATGCTGCTGAGAGTTCAGGTACAATGTGTATGCAATGAACTTAGCAAACAAAACAAAACCCAAAACAAAACAAAACCCCGGTTATTTTGGACCCTGATTGCAGTGAGATCATAACTCCTATTTCAAAGAAAATGTGACTTTTCCTTCCTTTCTGCCTAGTGTGAAAACTGCAAGAGATCTTCGTAAGTTAACATCAGTAGAGAACTAAAACAATCTTTTGGTGACTGAAACTACAAAAATCTGGTATCTTTGACACCTGAACATTTAAAGAAGTGTGCTTGAAAATTTAAAGGGCAACTATTGAGCTCAGAGTTTCTCAAACAAGGTGCAGCAATCTGTCACTTTGAGCAATGGATGATGAGTATCTTTATAAAAACATTCACTAAGGTAAAGGTGCACATTTAAAATTATTTGATGAAACAGGCTCAGTGTTAAGTAAGTTTCCAAACAGTGAGCACTAAAATTAAGAATTCTTTACTTTTAAATAAAGTTTACAAGTACTGTGAGTTGTGAAAAATAGTCCAATACAGAAGAGTATCAAGTTCAAAATCTCATAATCTATGCTGTTCAAAGAAAGCCATTAGTAGGCTTTCCTACATAATTATAAACACAAATTTTTAAATTAGTTCATACTATATATTTTTATCAGTAGCTTTTTTCACTTAACATGGCCATTTTCCCATGTCCATATACAATTGAGTATACCTTACTCATTTTAAAAGACGTGAATTTTCTTGATATTTTCAGTGTGGCCTTGACCTATAGTTTAATAAATATTTGGACTTGCCAAGCTTCAATATTGGTATAGTATATTAGGACTCAATTTCAAGCAATAGAGACCCAACTCAAAGTAACTTAAACAAAAGAGTATTTATTGGTTCACAAAACTGAAAAAATCCAGAGGATATATAGCTTCAGGCACGGGTGGATCCAGGAGCACAAACATTGTCATCAGGACTCAAGTCTCCATCATTTGGCTCCGCTTTCCTCTGCACTGGCTTCATTTTCTGACTGGCTCATTTGATATGGTGGACTCTTGGTGGTCTGAAGTTTTTTCTCATCCTACAAAGTTAAGCAACCTCAGTAAATTGAGTTTCTGAGCTTCCATAGTTCAGTAAAACTCCTAGGGTTGAGTATCACTGGGTCAACTTGAATCACATGACCATTCCTGAATCAATCACTATGGTGAAGGAGATGACTCTTGACTAATCAGGCATGAACTACATGTCCAACATGAAACTTAAGGTTAGGTCAGACTGTGTCAAGTATGCAGACTGAAAATGAATATAGTCCCAAGAAACATCAGGGAGTTGTTACAAAGAGATGGAATGAATTGCTGGTCAATTAAAAACAGTATCAGTGATAAGACCGGATATTGTAAAAGTTTAATCTTTGCTCATAAAGTTGAATGATAACAGCTGGCACTGTTACTCTAAAAAAGTATTAAAACAAAAACAAAACCACCATGGGGATGTATTTCCTGTACTCAGAAAACTTATTGGAATGGAATAATCATGTCCAGTAACATACTCTGGATGATTCAATACTTTCAATATAAGTAACATGAGTCAGAGAGCCCAACTATCAAGCTGACATAATGCAAGACAACTAGCCTCCCAATGGCAAATAGTACGTGAGGATTTTCAAGTCAGTGGTAAATTTTAAGTTCATGGAAAACTTTTCTTGTGTTCAAGTCTTTTGCCAAGTTGAACATTTCTCATTTCTGAACTGGTGATTCAGACTCACTTCTGTATTACTGTAGAAGAAACTGACTGCTTTAAATCTGCTGTACTCCTTCAGATGTGGTATAAGGGATGCCAGGTGCTGAAAATGATCAAATATATACAGGTTTAGAGGCTTCCTCTGCACTTAAAAAGAAAAAAAAAAAAGGCTGCTGCTGGTCACAGTATACAGCATGGTCCTTCTTGTTGAGAACATCAAAGTCCTGGTGGGGTGAGGTGCAGGTTGCTTCTGTTCAAAAATCTTGGTGGAACTGGGTATAAAATAGGCTGAGATCAGTTGTAATCACCTTGAGGACACAAGTCTGATTGCACAAACATCACCAAAGGCAGGCAGGGGCTGAGTCAGACAAATAGGTAAGTAGGGTACCTTACTTATTCAGTAGGGCCAGCCATACCAATAACCAGGATATAATATGGAAGAACACATAGTTTAATACCAAAGCTCTGTAAATTAGTTTTTACCCTGAGCACTCCAGGGTTAATCTATAGCGTTTACTCTGGATACAACTTTCTGACCTTAAATAGCCAGTTAGGTACAGCAGCTTTCACTTTCCTGCTCGTTTGCCCGAAAATGTTCAGCTTAGGAGAAGGCTATATTCTCAATCCAATTGAGGTTCTGTTTAGGTGTTTATGCTACACTTGTGAGTGATAGGGTTCATCAAAGTTGGCCCTACTTTCTTTGGTAATCAAGTCTCCATTTTCTGTGATTCGGCACATGTCTGGGAATTAAATACAAGTCAAGGCCTCAAACTGGTTGAATGGCGCTGCTGGACAGACTTAGATGAGATTTGAGGCATGGAGATTAGTAGGTAAGTTTCTAGGCTTGATTTTTAGGCTTTTCATCCATCAATTCTGACACATGGTATTCATTAGACTCTTGAAAGACGGTCATCTTCACTTTAAGCCCCTCATTTTGACTGAGTTGGACAGGACTGAAGGGAATGAATGGCAGTATAGATCAACATCTTTTTCTATACAGGTGAAAAAAATCCAGCTGATATTTTGAAGGTAGTAAGAAAACTGAGTTTGTAGATAATTTTTTCTTCACAAATGATAGTTGTATATACAAGCAGGATAGTCATCTTTTATTTTTATTTGTTGATGGCGAGCAGTCTAGAGTAACCAGACTTAGGCCACTTGGACGATCTGCAGACCAAGTCACGTAATCATAATTAGTCTAGTGGATGAGATAGATATAAAGAAACCATTCCCAATATTTAACCAGTGCATTCATTAGAGTAGTTGAGGACAGCTGGCCCTTAAGTCAACTGTGAAGTATATGAGATTTTCCTCATGATATAAATCAAAGTTTAGTTGTTCAACATAATCTGGTCTGGAAGTTCATAAGCTGAATCCTTCCTGCAGAAACAGGTAAGTTGTTTCAATGCCTGAGAGCATCTCATGGCAAGGAATGAGGTTGGCCACTCTGAATCAGTGTAAAACAGTATCGAGACAGCTAAAATTCCATGCACATATCCACAATAATGGACCGTGGTCTTGTGACATTAGAAAGCAGCAGCAGGAAGTCTGAGTCTCCTGACAAAATCCTTAGCTATAGGTTTTGTAGATGATTCTCACGTCTCTATTTCCAAGAAGGGAAAAAAAAAGTAGATGATACACCAACTTGAGAGTCCCAGCAAGTAAGCTATCACAGCCTAGTCAAAAGGCCTACCTCAAAATATCCCTAATACCTAGAGCTGGTAGTAGCAGACATCATAGGACCCACCTTAAGGAAAAACGCTCAGTGGCATAAAAATTTTTCCAAATGATCACATTTTAAATCACATACATGAGAAAAGATGTTCAAAGACTGTCTCTTGTGGATCAGGTCTTACATGTAGTTAGAGATCGGTATTCCTAATTTTAGAGCAGAATATGCCAGGCAGATAAACCAATGATGAAGAAACTGTTTTAGCTTTTTAAAGGTTATTAGCTCATTTATCCCGAAAACAGAAGTTGAAATGAATAAAAACCAAGCAGCAGTAACACTGTCACTGGTTGAGTCATAGTAACTTGTAGTTTGAGAATAAGATGAATGGTAAAACCAGGTACCCTTTTGGTTAATGTTGCCAATATCTGAATTTTGCTTCATAGTTAACGGTTATCACTTGCATATGAAAGAGTACCAAAGCTGATGATGGGAGGTCCAAATGTACAAGTTGGTCTACTACGGCCTCAATGAGGCATCAGCTTCAACACCTGGCAATTCAGGTATTCAAGGAGAATCAAGACTTCAAACTCACATTTCAAGTACCACTAGAGCATCTGGTATTTGTGAAAGATGTTGGGTAAGGGAGTTTGTCAGTGTTATGTAGGAATCACTCAAGTCTATATCCAAACCCAGCAATTACTGGAAGTCCATCAGGGGGTAGAGGGCTGTTAACTTTAGGTCCAGTTGATAACCACTTTTAGCCCATATAACTTCTTGGGGGGTGGGCGGCAGGACAAAGACACACCAGTCTTCTTAGACTTTCCTGAGTTTGCCCACAGTAAGTATGCCTAAAAATGTTCTGTACCACCTGAACATGGACTGTGCTGGGTAGAGGTACAGATCAGAATACCATTCAGGTCACACATATTGTTGTCTAGGGCAGTGTTTTTCAAAATGTGTTCTGAAGAATTCTAGGTGTTATAAAGAAGTCTCCTTAGGTGTCACCATGGTGGTAAAGGAAGATGCTTGTAGCAGGTTTCAGGCCTCCCACTCCTGGTTCATCCAGAACAGCTTCACTTGTACTTTAGGTTTCCACATAGTTTTCATTCAAAGGGCTTCATGGCCACAAAGCCTTTGGAAAACCAATGATCTAAGAATAAGTTGTTCACAAAATGCTGAAATACAAAAAATGTCACAGAAACCAAACTGTGAGCAAAGCCTTTGGTAAGCCAAGGTGTTTCCTATTCATTCTTCCCCTAAGGTGGGCTACATTTACAAAATTAAGAAATTAACATTCAAATCTGCTATAAATTCTCATTGCCTGAAACTGGGCTTGTGACTATCAGAAACACTATTGGTTTTAAGTGACAACAGCTCTGGGGTTTTTGCAGTCAGCATACAGCTGCAAAATGCATTCATTCCTTTGTAAATATTATTCCAAGAACTGCATGGTTGGATGACTTCTCTTCAACTACTGGTAAGATCTCGGTGGGCCACAACTCAGAAATTCTAAGAAAATAACTCCTTTTCACCCCTCCTCCCCTTTTTGCCCCTTTCCCCTTCCCTTTCCAATCTTCTCACCCACCTGAGATGCAATGCCCTTGAACTAGGTTTATAGTACAATTCTAGGGACAGAGAAGTACATGGCTAAATGTCATAGAATCCATCCAAATTCAGATGAATTAACTTTCCCCTACCCTCCCACCACCCATATTCTCACAAATCTTCTAGAGGTTCCCTTGACAGGAAAATCAAGGTAATGGTCAAGATAAAGAACTCTCAGATCATATTAAGTCACATATTAAGTCAAAGCACTTACTGGTAAGAGGGGGAAGGTTTCAAAGATGCAGTTTACTCCTGGGGTTCTAGGGTAATCTATTGGCATCCAGGAAGCACTGGCTATGCCATCTTAAGGCAGCTGCCTCATTTCAATAAAATGCTACAAAAATAACATCCTTTGCTTGATTAACTTAGAACTAGGCTAAACAGTTAAATGAGTTTTTTGCTCTAAGCCCTCTGTGATCTTCTAATATACTATAATGTATTACCAATCAGGGAGGAGACAATTTACAGTATTTTTACCACCTTACTGGACTACAGAAACTATATGACATGTTATAAGGACATGTCACATATATAAACCCATGTATAAACAGCACTGCTCTAAATGGATGGCTCATTTTGTATAAATATTTGTTTGGGGATAAAGAACAATAGCTAAGATCTTGGGTGACCTAGAGTCTAAGACTTAAAAACAAACAAAGGGATCCTCAGTTAGTCTGTCTTTGGGAAGACCACATAGATGGACAAAAAGATCTCTAAGTAGCTTTGTGTTTCATGTCAGGTAGTGTTGCTATCAGATGAAAATGTGTCTTGTTGACTGGATAATCTATCATAGAAGACAGCCTGCTCCTAAACTTTAGGGGTGTTTCCATAGAATTCTGGTCCAGGTATAGTTTATGACATCCTGGTTGAGGGTACATGATAAGGAAGCTAGAAAACTTTTCTTGAATTCCTAACCTGCAGTCATTTTAACACTGTGGGTTAAGCAGAGGCTAACAATTCCAAGGAGAGAACTGGACTGGGAGTCAGAAGGCTTGGCTTCTACCACTTGGTAGCTATGTCACCTTGGATGACCTTTCAAATCCCATTTTCTCATTTGCAAAAAGGGATTATAATTTATTGTATGATTTTGATAATTGGTATTAATACACGTAAAAGTGCTTTGAAACTGTAAAGTGCGATATAAAAATAAGGGTTTACCATACAGGTTCTACCTGGATGTCTCAAGAGGCCTTTTCTGGAATCTGATTGAAGCCTTGTAAGATGCCGTTAGGTAAAGGATTCCTTTGTAAAATTTCTTACATGTGCATGAAAAGTTCTGGTTCCTGAGTAATCCCAACGAAGATGCTATGAGGCCTTCACTGTGCCTTTGTTTTAATTCCAGTAAGTCAGAATATCTGCTTTCTCTTTCAGTAGGATACTACAGATTTGAAGTGGAAAAAGAACAGTGTCCAGTGACATGGATGGGATTCTTGATATATTTCAAACATGTCAGACTGTGGGATGTGGTTCTCAAGGAGATGTCATCATTCTTCAGACAGTGTTGAAAACTAAAAATCCCCTGGTCCAAATTTATTATGTGTCTCTGAAGGTTTGAACTGAAGAAACAAAACACACACTCATGGGCCTCTGTTGTAATTAAACAGCTTCCTTTAGCTATTTGGCTTCAGGAGTTTGACTTCACATAAAGGGTGGTGCTCAATCTTGGCAGAATAGGAGTGGGTGAAGGCCACATCATGATGGTTCAATGCTCCTGGGGTCACAGTGGTCCACTGGAATGGTGTCTTCTTCCGTTGTAAGGTAACAGGAATCACCATGGGCAAAAATCCAGGTACCAAATCTGTAGGCTGATGGAATAGCACAAGGAAGATGATGAGAAGGTTCAGTGACAAAACAAATGCAAGGCATTATCAACACCAGACTCTTAACACTGGAGTGGGCCTACTGTCAGCATATTAGCTAATTACTGAAAAGTTGACAATGCTAAAGAAAAAAAAAAAAAGCCTTAAAATCAGTGATGATAAGAACATAAAGAGTTCTCTGGGAAAGACTATTGCCTGACTCTTGAAAATAAACTGTCTCTGGAACTGCCCTAAGTCTCATACTTAGGGGGAGTAACTTGATTGCATTCAGGCTGCTGGGCAGTGGTTGGTGGGGAAAAAGGGCTGCGCAAAAGGGACAAGAACAGAATTTAAGTTTACATAACATCAATGAGATACTGCCCTCCTTTCTTTTCTAATGCCTTTCTTAAATCATCTTATGAAAAAAAAAAGCTGTCCTTAACCTTCATTTTAGCAAGATGCCATCTTGAATGGGGGAGAATAAAGCACCTAGGCCATAAACCTAGTCTGTGGACCCTTCTGTAATAATCTATACAACTTTTTAGTTTCTCTTTCTTTGGGGACTCCTGAAATATTTTTAAATTTAGAATTAAAAAAATAATAAAAACATGAAACAAAGGAAGAAGCATGGCCCATAACTGGTGATTTTTTCCATAATCAAGAGACACCAGGTTATCACATAATGATTAAGGAAGCACTTACTGAATGCTTATTCTGAGATAGCCTGCTCTCTAAATTCCTCCTTTCTATTAAAAGCTTCATCATATGTGGTAGTATGTGTGGGCAAGATTCGTTAAGACAAGATCCCTTTTTTCCTCAACGGGTTTGCTGTCTGCAAGAGAACAAAGGAAGAAAAGCATGCAAATAACTATTTTACAGGGTATCATATATAAAGATAAAAGATACACTAACAAAAATTTTACAAGATTATTTCTGGCTAAAGTTAAGAGACAGATGGAGGAGAGAGCATCTGAGGTAGATAGTGAGAAAATGGCAGAGTTTTGGCAGGTGAACTGGAGGAAGACATTTCAGGGTAGAAAAGAGAGTATGAACAAAAGTGTGGAGATGGTAAAGAATGATTCATTTTGGAAAACTGCAAGTACCGTAGTTCACTTTGGATGCAGTGTCACCAGTTTGCAACTGAGGATCCAGCAGAAACTCAGGACTTCGAATTCTCCATAATGGCGCTGGTGGCATAGTTTGTTTAGTCAATCTCTCTTCTGAAAGTGAGGTCAATAGTCCCAAAGTTCAAAAATAAAAGTATCCAACTCCAGAGTTCTTGTCACATCCTCATAAGCTCTTGCAGGTCCCCGTCTTGCAAATCTGGAGCCTATGCCATGGCTACACTGAAAGACATCTGCTCCAGCTAGTGCAGAATACTGTAGTGACACACTTTCAACCTCCTATCTTGGACATCTCACATTTTGTCACAGAATTTCAAGCTTAGAGTTCCAGTTGTTTTTTTCCCCTTCTGCCAAGAAAAGCATCTTATCACCACAGTCTTGTGATTCTTTTGTAGTACATCCACATTTTATTACAAAAAAACCTAAAAGACCAATACATCTTTCTCCAAAAAAGTTATTTCTCTGGCAGTGAGATCATTTGTCTCTGCCCTTTAGGTAAAGGGTACAGTCAATCGATTTTTTTTCCAGATATTTGTATGCAATAGTGGAACCAGGTAACACCTAACCAGACAAAATACACTTAAACTTGTGTGTTCACTTGCTTAGAGCTGTACCACTCCACAAAACAAAAATGTCTGAATTCCAAATGTTCAAACATTTCTATAGTGTTTGCTGGGCAATAGCCTGGAATTAGATAAAAGCAGCTGACAATTAACAAAGAAGCAAAAAACTGGCATTTTGGCCATCTTAGTAACACATTTGCAAGCTAATAGAATACAAAGCAGTCCAGGAAAAAGTTAAGCTTTGAAACACTTCCAAATCCACTGATGGTGAGGTTCTGTAGAGGTTCTAACAAAACTTTTCAGTGAATGTTAACCTGCAGTTAATAAAGATAACCCCCAATATCTTCAGGAATTCCATGGTTGGTCTGTTCCAGTGAGCCAGCCTGCTAAAATCCACCTGCACCATTAATTAGCTAGACTTGGCAGCACCATTTAAAAAGAAACCTGCTCATCACTAACCATATAGACTAGGGATATAAAATAGGATCAAGTAACAGATGGCAAACATGGTCGTGGAAAATGGTCAGTGAAAGAGTCAGAAAGGCAGTCAGGCACCAGTATAAGCAGCAACAAACAGTTATTGGGCCAAAGATTAAATATGCTTCTTGACACTACAGAATATGTCCACTCTTATTTTCCGCTGCTTTATAATGGGTGCCACAGTACCATATGCATTAGTCACCCTTCAGGCACCCTATGAGGAAAGAAAAGACTCAGAAAAGAAGCCAAGCAGTGGAGTGTTGTTACCCCGAATACCCAATATGCACAAAAAAGCTCACATATCCCAGGGATTCAAACAGGGGATTCGAATTGGTTGTGAAGGATCCCAAATGACATCTAGGCCTCAGTTTCCTCCCTACAGCATGAACAAATTGTGGTTCTTAACTCTTCAGGGGTGATACCTCCCTTTGAAAACTTGTTGGAGATGGATCCTCATTCCCTTAAAATGCACAGTCCCACTAATGCTGCATACAAGTTCAGGGAGTTTGGGGATCTCCAACTCCAAACCAAGGTTCCCAGGTTCAAAATCCATGGATTGGGCAATTGCTGTTTTCTTACAACTCAAAAAAATTGACAAACGATAATTATCCCTTACGTACACTGACGCTTTATACACTATAAAGCGATTTTAACCCCACAAACATCGATAGGCAGAGGAGGAAACTGAGGCGCAGACAGATTACAGAGTGACTTGCCTAAGGTCACTCGGCCAGCTGGTGGCTAGGCCCGGAAGCAAACCCAGTTCTTCCGACTCCGGAGCTTGTCTCCCACCCCCGAGCTGCCGCCAGAGCTCCCGCCTCCCACTAAGGCGGCATAAGGAGAAAAAGGCAAAGTAGAAAGCCCACCACCAACCATCCCCCAGCACCTTCCTGTGCCTCCAACTGGGTCCTTGCAGGCCCCGAAGGGTGGCGCCAGGCCTCCAGGCCCGCCCCGGCCACCCCCGCTTCCCCGGACGCGCCAAATCCCGCCGCCGCCTCCCCGGGAGCGGGGCGGAGCAGTTGCCCGCCACCGCCGACCACCCGGACGACTCCTCGTCGAATCGCAAACGCATAGGCCGCCGCCCGAGTTCTGCGTACGAGAAGAAAGACACGGCGCGAGCGCCAACGGCCACCGGGCGCGCGCCGCGGCGGCCGGGCCTGCGCCCCAAGAGCTGGATGCCAGAGCAGGAGAAAGAGCCGCCAACCGATCGCTCGATCGACCGCGCGCCCGCTCCTTCGCCCTACCAGACCGGGGAGGGGGGGAGGGCGCGCCAGGGCTTCTTCGAATTAGGGGCCTGACTCCCCGGCGACGAGACAAGATGGCTCCTCCGGTCCGCTCTGCAGCTACCGTCCCGGCTGCGTCGCTCGGCCCGCCCCCGGTACTGTTTCTTTAAATGGCGGAGAGGGTCAGGAAAGCAGGAAGAGAGGCGCGTTCTCTCACGTGACAGGGGTGGACCCAACTAACAAGATCCGGTCACGTGTAGACACATTGTCAACCAATCAGGGGACACCGTTTTAGGGTGGGGGTGGGAGGAGCTACGGCTCTGTGATTGGCTGAATGCGCCGCGGAGGCCTCGGGGGTTTGGGCGTCGGGGAGTGCGCGAGGCCGGCTCTTTCGTGTGCACTAGCGGAGACAAAGCGGAGGCTGAGGGGGCCGCGGAAGCGGCTGCAAAGCAGCCCTAAAAGCCCAATTTCGTGGTGCTGAGTCCTGTCATCATCTCATTCGTCGCACGGGCGGCTTGGGTCGTGGCGGCAGCGGTGGCGGCGGCAGCGGAGGCGGCAGCACATGGTTCCAAGAACGCCCTGCGGTTATAGGGTTCCAGTTCCGTGGGGAGGGACAAAGGCAGCTGTGATCGCTGGGCAACGCCCGGTTGGGTACTGCGCTCTCCATTGCCCTGGATCTGGGCTCTGAAAACTGGGCCTGACTCCTATTCCTGAGGACAAGCCTGGGAAGGGCCTGAGAGGCTGAGGAGAGGGGGAGGGGCGCGCGGCCCTCTTGAGGTGATTTGGGCAGGTTAATTCTGAGGCCTTTTAGTGGGCCTTTGTGAGGTAATTTGACCCACGAGCCTGGGGAGACTGGGGCGGGGCTCTGAAAACAGGAATCCGCCATCAGCGGTTAAGAGATCTTTCAGTTGGGAGCTGGTGAAGCCGGAAGTATCGCCATATATTCTTCACAACGCGGTCGCCAGTCTGGTGTGTGTGTAAGGATCCCGGGATCATTGATGGCGAAGACATGGGTGATTGTCCAGTTTTATAACAGAAGTTGATAAGTTTCCGGATTGGTAAGTTTCCGGATTGCTAAATTTTCTAGAAGAACGAAAAAGGGCTGAAAGAAAATGAAGATCGAGCAGTAATAAAACCGCCAACTCCGTACCATCTATTTCAAGATCATCCACGTTTCGACTCGTTGAACTATCACAACTTAACGCCAAAGCTCCTTGAGACTGCAGATTTATTGACATAGTTCTATTCGAGATACTACATCAGAGTCTGAGAAGATAAAAACTTGCAGGAGAAATCAATTGTAGTTTTAGATATTTCTGGATATATTTTGGATAGGTACTCAGTAATCTTGTTTAATTGTGAGGAGCACAGTCGTAATTACCATATCTTTCTGGGAGGAATCCTGGAAAATCTATTCCATTCTAAGGTATTTCCCAGTTGGTAAAGGACTGGACCTCACCGCACTTATGGCTTTCACAAATTACAGCAGTCTGAATCGAGCCCAGCTAACCTTTGAATATCTGCACACAAATTCGTAAGTACCTGTAGGTGCTACTGTAGTCACTGATAACTCCTTTCCTGATACTAGTGAGGAAATCCTCTTCTCAGAAAAGTTTGCTTTTTCACTTTTGGGGATGTATCGCTGGATGAACTGAGATCAGTGAAATATTTCTTGCTAATCCAGAAGAATACGACCATTTATTGGATCAAAATTTATTTGATGAAATGCAAACTAGTTGTGTGAGGTTACTATATCAACTTCTTTCTCAAGTGTTTGTTAGGAATCCAACAAGTACTTTCTTTGGATCACCAAAAGTTGGACTATCCTAGTATATTTTTTCTAGTGACAACAGCCAAAACAGTTTGGTTATAACAAGTTTTATTCTTTCTAACAAGGAAAAAAGTAAATGAAGATATTTAAATGACAACTTATTAGAAGAAAAAATTTTTTTCCCCAGCAAACAGTTGGCTTTATATTCCTGGGAAATTCGTCCCCACATCCAACATAGTTTTAATATGCTTGCTAAGCAGGAAATGGCAAATTGTTTAAAACCATGATTTAAATAGCCATTGCCAAAACGTGTGCAAATCTCAGAACATGTAGAGTGTTCGTGGTTCATTAGTTCATGAAGAGATTACCATCACTCCACGTTGATCTGCAGTGTTTCTTGGTCAATCCTTAAGCTCACTCATGGAAGCTACACTTCGATTGTAGCTACTTAGTGTTTTATGTTTTAATACATTCATTTGTCACTTTTGAGATCAAGGTAAGTAGCCTAACATTTTAGGATGTGGAGAGGTGATGAACACCTAAATGATGGCCCAGAGATCTGAAGAATCACCTTCAGGGCTGAGAATTATTCAACAATACTATAGTAATTTTTATCCTTTCATGGGAAAGGACTTAGAAAAAAACCAAAACCCCTACGTTTTCAGAGTTTCTGTGATCATGTCTGTAACTTTTTGTTTGCTATCTTTCCTATCAAGGAAATAAAATTTCTCTTAAGTGAAATGAATTACCAAACTATGAGAGCCTGGATTTATTTTGCTTTGTATAGGAAGCTTATTATTGAACTAGTGTGTCTGAGTAGGTGCTGTAGAGGCTACTTAGGCAAATTCTTGTGCTGTAGATGGTGAATCTGAAATCCAGTTAGGTAAGTTGCTGACTACTTTATAATACAGCCTTGGGCAGAACCTTAATTTTCCTTTTTTATGTTTGAACTGTCATATTAAGAATCAGCAGTTAAAAAAGAAATCAGCAGTTGAAGCCACTAGATGGTCACAGATGATTGTGCTTTGGAATGAGAAGCCAAATTTGGAATGGTAGACTCTTTAATAATCTTGGAAGAATATGAACAGGGCTTAAGAAACTGGATTCTTGTTTCAGCTTTCCTAAAGACTATTTGATTATGAAATAGTAGTAACAATAATTGATTGTGCCAGTTACTGTTTTAAACGTGGCTGAAAGTCATCTTTGTAGCAACACTGCTGGAATTATTCCGATTTTGTGTATGAGGAAACTGAGGCCCAGCTTCACCTTTCAGGACTTCTCTCCTTGCCTATACAGAGAAGGGTTTACTTATTGCTTTATAATTTTTTAAAATTGATTTTAGAGAGAGATGAAGGTGGAGAGAGGGGGAGAAACATCAATTTGTTCCACTCTTCCACGCATTCATTGGTTGATTCCTGCATGTGCCCCAACTAGGTATCGAACCTGCAACCTTGGGTTGTGGTGGGATGATGCTTTAACCAAATGAGCTCTCTGGCCAAGACTACTTCTCACTTTAAAAGTCTTCAATTTTATCTCAGCAAGCCTCCAGTTTGAGGATTCTGGGATATTTCTCTCTGCTTGTTCTGCTATTTTATAGCTTATTAACATTAGGTGGACACAGCCAAAGCGAAGAATTGAACCTCAGGTAAATCACTTCTTTAAAGTGATAATGGAGAATTTTCTTTACCGATGTTGAATTGAAGTCACCTGTTTGCATAGAAATTTGAGGGTTGGTTGTAGCATTTTGGAAGCTCTATAATATTTGGGTTACACCATTGAATTAGTCTACTTTTAAATATCCCCAGTTATGCCTGAAGAAAATATGAACCCTAGAATGACAAGATAAAATAAGTTCCTGGTTTGTAACTAATTAAGAGATTTCTTTAATATGGTGACCTGACTGGAAGCTCACTTCTAGAGGAAACAATTTTAAGTTTCCTTTTTTTTTTTTTTTAATTGTTTGATTGTAGAGAGAGGAAAAGCAAGCAAGAGAGAGAAGTGTTGATTTATTGTGCTACTTACGCATTCATATGTTATTTCTTGTATGTGTCCTTGCTGGGGATCAAACCCAAAACCATGTATCAGGACGATTCTGTAATCAACTGAATACCCGACCAGGGCCTTAAATTTTCTTAAGATGTGACTTGGTACTCTTAAAGATGGTAGATATATATCCTGTGTAATAAGTGGTGCAATGTTACCTTCAGAGAAGGGGAAGTTTGTCTTACAGTATCTTCTCCTTTGTTCTGTTATGTTAAAAAGCTCACTTTGGGGTGTCTGACATCTGCAGTATACGCCATGTTGTTAATTATGAAAAGAAATTGCCTTTTCCTTACCTTCTAGGTAATGGAGAGTTGTAAGCAGAGCCCAGCCTGGAAAGGGTGGAAATCAGTGTGATACACTGGAAAGATCATGGGTTTGGGAGCATGCCAAGCTTGAATTTGATTGCTTCTTGGCTATGTCCTTGGGCAGAGATCGACTTCTCTGAGCCTCAGTTTCTTCATCTGTAAAATGGGACTAATTTAACAGTGTGTTTCTGAGTACTATGTAATGTTTATAAAGTAATTGGCTCTTATGTGGTACATGGTAAACATTGAATAGATGGTGATGATTATTCTGTTTATAATATAGCTTATATAAACCAAAAGTTGGAAGCATGGTAGCAATTTGCTCTTTGGTGCTAGTCATTAGGCAGGTAAATTCCTAGTAGATTCTGGCCCATCTGTTAGAGACAGTGAACATCTGGTGTTGTTTTTTTTTTTGTATTAGATCAGTGGTAACTACTGATGGTTATTTTCTTGGTTTCCATTAGCATTAAGGTTTAAAGCAAGCATGGGAAATTCTCAGGATATGAAAGTCTTAGGATAATTTCTTTTAATACTGGATATTCTAGGAGTTTTTATTTTTAAGATTTTATTTATTTATTTTTAGAGAAAGGGGAAGGGAGGGAAAAAGAGGGAGAGAAACAGCAATGTGTGGTTGCCTCTCGCTTATCCCACACTAGGGACCTATCCTGCAACCAAGGCCCGTGCCCTGACTGGGAATTGAACTGGTGACCCTTTCCTTTGCAATCCAGTGCTCAATCCATTGAGCCACACCAGCCAGGGCGAAAGTTTTGTAGATAGAAGGAGTTTTATGCTGTTATTGCGCTTTGGTGGCGGGTTTTGTGACTGATAGTAAAAAAAAGTTCATGAGCAATCTAAGTGTAGTGCTGGTGATAATGTTCCTTTGGCATAAGATACATATCTTAAGTCACTCTTTGCAGTAATGCTAAGCAGTAGGATAGAGCAGGATGCTGAAGTATAACATGTCTGCTTTCTATGTCTGTTCCTGTTGGCACATTTAATAATTTTTATCTTGGCTATTGATATTTTTGGTTTGTTTTATCCATAAAGTGGTTATGGAGGAACCTGTTAACTCTAGAGACAATTCTTATGACATAATTCTGTTGAAATGTGGGTTCTTACTCTAATTATATTAAAACAGTAAGAATGAAAATGGTTGCTCTAGAATTTCTCCATTTTATTGATCAGGGAAATTAACTAATTGTCAACATATCCAAGAGCTTAGCTGGTTTAAATTCAGGCTGAGTATGAATTGGGAGACCATTTCCTTACATAATAAATAGATTTACATGTGAATTTGTCACTGGAAATGCTGAGCTGCAAAACAGTTTTTTTGCAGCACAAATTATATAAAAGCCTTGATCAGTTCAAAGTAGAGTTTGTTAAAATATTTTTTTTTTAGATGGTAGATCTTTCTTGGGTCACAAACAAGGAGTTGTTGGGTCTGTGAAGAATTTCCTTTGGTAGTTATTCAAATATTCGTATCTCAGATACTAACTAGAAATGAGTGCATCTCTGAATATTATTTGAAAAAAAGGGAGAACTTGTGTAGTTGGTACATTTTTGGTTCTTACCATTTTAAGAGGTATTTAGAACTCTGGCTTTAACATTTGACAAAATAGGATCCGTCCTTAATCAGTTGGAGGACTGGAGAAGATTTTGAGTGTTATCTCTCATTAACAGTTGTCACAAAAGATCCCTTTTATGATGTAACAGTATACATCACAAAAATACCTGTTACAGTTTTTTTCTTTCCTTTTTTTTTTTTAGAAGGGAAGGGAGGGAAGAAAGAAGCATCAATGTGAGAGGGAAATATTGATTGGCTGCTTCTCAAACATGCCTGCTCTGGGGACTGAACCGCTACCTCAGCATTTGCCCTGACTGGGTCTAACCTGTGACCTTTTTGGTTTACTGGATGATGCTCCAACCAACTGAGCCACACCGGCCAGGGCCCCCTTAGTTACATTTTAAAGATACCTGTTAATTTATCTGAAATATGTACGTGTGGAACAGCAATGATACTGTGTGGAACAAGGAAAACTATTCGGAATGTTTATTTTTAATTCTAAAGGTATAAGGCACATTTCTAAACATTGTATAGGAAGTAGTGAAAACTTAGCCAGAGATAGTTTGTACTTTCTCTTTTGAGATCTTACTATTGAATTCTAAATGTCTCATTTTTTTATATGAATATTAGAAATATGTATTCCTGAGAACTAGTTGCTATTCCTATTTTTTATTTCTTTGCTCTGATGGCAAAGGCTATCAGAATTAGTTTTCTAGATTATTCATATTCACCATTCTCACGACCAAAGGCCAGATTCTTCATTCTGTAATATATTAATCCAGAGCTTTCTGCTTACAAATTGTAGTTTCATTTTTATTATTCTTTTTTTTTTCTTCAGGAGCTCTATTTCTGAGATTTTTTGACTTAAAGTGCTAATTCTTACTGAGATAAAGAAGTATTGCGACAATTTGTATTTTTATGTAACTGCTCAAAAATTAAAAAATTTAGAACATTAAAAGACTAGTTCAATTTGTAAGTTTCTTAATCAGTTATAAGTCAGGGAAATAACTGGTTGAAAGCTCGAAAGCAAATGTTAGATTTATTTTTAACTTATGTTACTTTAAGCAAATCATGTTAGTTTTCTAGCTTACTTTTTAGTGGAATAATTTACAGAATACTTATTTGTATTTCGGTTGATAATTTGAAGAATTTAATATGATTCTAGAGGCTTAAACTTTTTTATTTATTGATCTTTGGAAAGGGAGAGAGGAAGAAAGAAAGATCAATTTGTTGTTCCATTTATTTATGCATTTATTAGTTGATTCTTCTATGTGCCCTGACCAGGGATCAAACCTGCAGCCTTGGCATATCGGGATGATGCTCTTACCAACTTAGCTACCTGTCCATGGCCTTAGAGACTTAAGTATTTTTAGTAATGAAAGATATGGGTGTTTTATGCAGGTTTTTTCTCTTAGAAATTGTGGGGGGTTTTATGTAAAATAATTGAGATTTTGATTTTGGAACATTTTGAGCTCTATTTTCTAGTTGAATTGGAGAGAAATTTTTCTTCTTTTTGTTAAAACTTATTGGTGTCACCTTTGGATTAGCAACATATTCACTGATCTCATGGAAAAGTTCTTCCTAAAGTTCCCAGAACTGTTAGTTTTAACTCAAAATTTGCATTTGTGAAAATTTCCTGACAGTGTAGTTTTGAGTATTTTACAAACAAACATTTTACACCCTACATGCTGATTATTTAGTATTGGTATACATATTTTTAAATTTTAGAAAATTTCAGTTTATCTATTGGGTGAAACATTATACAAAAACAAAATCAGCTGTAATAATTTGGTTATTTTCGAAAACTTGATGATGGTAATGCATTATGTGTGTTAATGATTTTGTATTTTCCCTAATCCAAAGTCATTGTTTTCTAGGTGGTTCTAGGTGGACACATCCTACTTTTATATCTAATGAGAACTACTATAAGAAATTAAAGAGAGTTTAAATGCAAGGAGAATTGTATGGATAAATATTATGTATAAATATCAGTTTTATTGAATTCTGAATATCTTGGTAACCCAACCCAAACTTTGAGCATTTTCTCCAAGGAGATGACCATTAGCTTCTCTCTTAGGAGTGGTTAACTTCAACAGCAGCCCCAGTATCATATCATGCTCTTGTTTTCCTAGAAGGAGTTGTTCAAAAGGGTCTTGCATTCCCTTAAGGTGTGAAAAAGCTCTACTTTTAGCCAGAATAAAAGAAAGTCAGGAAATGGATTTCTCTCTCCTATCTCTCCCCTTTCAAATGGAATATATTTGCTTATAAATTGCACAATAGTGAATGGATTTTCTACTTTTACCAGTAGATCATACATAGATATTAGTAAAGCAAATTGCTAACAAGTTGTTCATTGACTGTATTTTGAGATATGTAGAAACAGCTGGTTAAGGCAGTGAAAAACAAATTGCAGGCATTTTTTCTAGGCAGGATATGAGAAGTACTGCTTTTTAGCGATAGTACACGTAGGAATATTTGAACACTTTGGAGTAAGTTTTTCAATATAGCAAGAGTAAACATTTCTGTGTAGATATCAGGACTTGGTAGATTAATACTTAAGGGAGATTAACGAGCTAATGGTGGAGAAGTTTAAGTTTCAGTTGTGTAGACTGATACAAATGGTGATTTTAGTTTTTTTTCCAACAATCAATATTTTATAACCTTGACTTTTTTATTAGGATTCATAGTTCAATCCCATAATTCTTTTGCTGACTCTTAGTGTTTATCATTTCAGAACCACTCATGAATTCTTGTTTGGTGCTCTTGCTGAACTGGTTGATAATGCAAGGTATGTAGTTTTGGGGCATACAGGCTGTGCTTGAAGAGTTTTGGGGTGGTTGTGACCTTTTTGCTGTGAAGACGTGGGAGGAATGCAAATCTGTAACAACTGTAACTCACTCCTGAGAGGCCCATTACCCAAAAGACTGTTTTTAATAACATGTTAGTTGATATTTCCACTTTATTTGATTAACTTTAATTTATTTATTGCTTTGTGTTCCAGCATAAAAATAATGAACCTATAACCTCCAAAGCTACTTTCCCTTGTGTATTACAGCAAGATAATTGTAAAACAATTAAGATAGAAATTGAGGAATCAAATTAATGAGATAGATAAGCTCTGGTTTAATTTGAATTATGAGAAGAGTATACCATCTAATGTCTCTAAAATTATATCCCATTTCTGTTTCTTTCCAAACTGTATATTTTGTTGTCTGATGACTGCAGTTTATCAAAGCATTTTCCATTATTAGCAGCTGTGCTTGAAGAAATCATTCTGTAGCACTGTGTTATATATACTGAGTTGTTCTTGGTGATGGAAGTGTATAAATGTTACTGTGTAAGACTGAAAAGTTTAAGTTGCTTCAAAGATAAGCAAACAAAAACCTAAGCAAGATTCTGTTTATATTGAAAGTGTTTGTCTAGTTTCTGAATGCAAACATAAAATTTAGACATTGTTTATCAACTAGGCATTGGTGACTAATGAAGAGGGAAAGAGTTGACAAAGTACTTTTTTGTTTTTGAAGATTTTGTTTATTTTTAAAGAGAGAGATAGGAAGACAGAAATAGAAGAAGAGAAACATCATTCGCCTCTCGCATGCCCCAGTTGGGGACCTGACTCGCAACCCAGATGTGTCCTGACTGGGAATCAAACCGGGGAAATCAAACCCCTGAGACATTTGGTCTGAGGGGACAATGCCCCATCCACTGAGCCACACCAGTCAAGGCTAGAAATAGTTTTAAATAGATTGCCAGCTATTGAGTTTGCTGATAATTTTCTGTCTACCTGTGTTTATACTGTAAACCTATACTATTGTTACTTTTAACTCTACTATTCATGGGAGTACGAGGTCTGTCCAAAAAAAGTCCAGCCATTGTCAAAATGAGAACAGTTTGCGCAACATCGATGTAGCCTGGCAGCCAAGGAGAGTAGACTGGAATGTACATGTGTGAACGATGACGACTTCACTGTACTAGTCAGTATGGGCAGTAGATGCCTTTTGAGTGAGTATGTGTACTGTGTGGCCATTCGCATTCAAAATGACTGAGCAACGAATCTACATTAAATTTTGCATTAAGCTTGAACATTCCTTCACCGGATCTATTGGGATGATTTAGAAAGTCACAGCCATGGGCAACTGCTGATTGGCAACTGAGCTTGTGTTTCAGTTGATGGCAAGACTATAATGGGATACCTCAACTTCCTTTCAGTGTTAGGGAGGATAAGATTATGGGCTCGTGAGTCTACTGACTACAGTCTGCTGACTGTAGTGCATATATCATGAGGCTTGATTTTTCGTAAGCTTTGTGGCAGGTTATTGTTTTCCTTTTTTCTCAATCTCTTGTTGAGAAGGAAAAATGGAGAAGTTATTGGAACATTTTTTATGATTGTAACAAAGAAGAACATAGACTTAAGTCAGTTCTTAACATCTAAAGAGGAATGTTTTTACTTCTAGATGTTTTCACTAATACATATCTAGGTTCTATGTGTCATGTGGTTATTTTAAATAATTTGGAGCTCCAGAAGTTTTAATAATACAAGGAAAATTGTATTACCAAGTGTAAAATGTATAGCTTTAATGTATGTTGAATGACTGTCTGAATTTCTGAAAGTAGACTCAAAATAGTATCCATCCTACTTGAGAAACTATGCATATTTATTGCTGATACTTCAGATTCTAATTTAAATCTTGATTTTTTTTTCCCTTTTAATTTTGCAGAGATGCTGATGCCACCAGAATAGATATTTATGCAGGTAAGATGGATGTCACTTTTTTCTTCTAGTGCCCAGTTCCTTTTCATTGCTATGCCTAAGAAGAAATGAATAGTAAATAACTGGTTTTTGGAGCCTAAGGATATGGCACAGTCACTCTAGGTTGTAGGTAGAAACAGGGTAGCCCTGGTTAGGCATGGATAATAATAGAACCCAAGAATATTGGTGTAAAGAAACTAACACAGGGTGACCAGATCTATAGATCTATTCAAATAGCCACCAGAAGATTTATGGGGATGGTAGAGTAGGGTAGTGGGGAGTGTAATACCAATAACCAGTGATTTTACTGGTTGAACTTAGGAGGTGAACAGGTTTGTGGTACCTGTGGCCAAAGAGAGATCTTGTTGGGAGTCCAGTTTCTCCTGCAGCTGTGGTGAAGAGCAGTCCCAACTTGTAAAGTTGCTGGTGTCCATTGCATAAAACAGCTGAGTAACTGGGTTGGCACTAAGGTTTGCAAGGAAATGTTCTCAAACAGGTGTCAGGTAGGAAGGAGGGCTGCTGTGCTTAGAATTTAAAGATATTGAAGCGTGTACTATTTGCTTATTTAATTGGCTCTGTTTGTCAGTAAGAGGGGGTGCAACGGTAGGATAATTCTTAGTCATTATCAGTAGCTTTTTTTTTAGCAGTTTGCTTTCTGATTGTTCAGTGTTTGTACTAGTACTTCTTTTTGGTTGTTTGAATGCTTAAAATCTGGAAGCCAAATAGAGGAAGAAGATAAATCCAGTTTGGATAGCATGATCTGTTTTTCAGAGGACTTATGAAGTCCTCTGAAATGTTTGAGGTAATCTTTTGAATAACATCGACTAGCTTCTGAAAAGATTTGAATGTTATGGAAATACACAGTTACCCGATGATTTCTTTTCTTCATAGATCCCTTTGAGAAATGATAACAAGCACACAACTAAGAAGTAATTATTAGAAACTCCAATTTAATATAATATGAAGAATCTCCCCAGATACGAATTTCTCATGCCTGATAAACTTTTGAGTAAAGAAAATATTCAACAAATATTCAGAACAGCTAAAAGCCAGCTATACTGCTTAATTTCCAAAAGCCTTTTGTTTAAAAAGCTCTGCCAGAGTGGTGAAAATAAGACTCCTTTATTTTTAGAAGAAGCTAACAGGAAAAAGGGGTACGGCAGACCATTTGAAGATGGTTACTAAACCCTCAGGCCACATGGAGGTGCCAATGTGTATCTTACAACTTAGTGTACTTTATTGAGGAGTAATTACAGCTATCTCTGAAAGAAGTGGTAGCTGTTTTAATCATTGCACAATAGCAGAGCAGAGAATGAGCCCATACTCCAAGAGACATTGAAGGGACAAATCATCTTAACCAAGTCTATTTGGAAGGTGCTTTTAAAAAAAGATAATCTCTGCTCCCTTCTCTCTCACCTTTGGTAGGTGAATTTCAACAAGGAAATTTAGTCCTTGACACTGAGAATGCAGAACAGTTAGATTTTAATTTAAATGAATAAAAGGCTGAGTGCCCATTTATTCTGTGCTCAGTGCTATTCCTTTTTAGCTTTAGGAGGAGTCTAGAGAGAATGAGATTGGACAGACAGCACTCTATGGAGAATTAGATAACAATAAGGTAGTTAGGGATTAAATGGTACGATAGAAACGCTACACACTATAGCATTTTGGAAAAAGACATGATTCACTCTTAAGATTGGAAGTCTTGGCTGAAGTGTCCTTTATACTTTTCTATGGGAGGAATAAAAGCAACCTCGTTTTACAAGTAAAATTATATGATTAGTAATATCTAATATAGGGGCATCTTGCTTTATTGTGCCTCACTTTATTGTGACTCATAGATGTTGCACTTTTTACAAGTTCAAGGCAAGATCCTCTACTAGCAAGAAGATTATGACTTGCTTTTATTGCATTGGTCTGGTACTGAACCTGCAATATCTCCAAGGTGTGTCTACAGTATAAAGTTTTTTGGGGGCAGTATTATTCTATCTCCTGTTTTGAAACTAGATTGATTCTGAACTTGGCAATTTCCTCAAATATAATATGTAGTTTCAATTCACCATAAAGTCACTTTTTAGAAGATTTATTTAAACTTAAGAAGGGTGCCTTGGTGGGTGTGGCTCAGTTGGTTGGAGCGTTGTCCCACAAACAAAAAAGGCTTGTGGGTTCAATTCCCAGTCAGGGCACAGGCCTAGGTTGTGGGTTCAGTCTCCAACCCCTTGTTGGGTAAGTGTAAGAGACAGCTGAATGACATTTCTCTCCTCCCTCTCCCTCCCTTCTCCTGCATAAAATCAATAAGCATGTCCTTGGTTGAAGATTTTTTTAAAAATGATAATTAAGAAGATAAAGCTAAGAAGGGTGAGAAAGGAACCAGACTGTCAAAATGTAGAGGTGTCCACTTACCCAAAGCATTCCTATTAGATGGGGCCAGACAATAAGGTGCCTGTAGAAGTAGACTGTGTTTTTACTTCTTAACTTTGTTGGTTAGGTAGGGAGTTCCACCCCTCAAAGATCTCTTCTGTGAGGTCAGGTCAGTGGTTCGTAAATGGAAAATTAGTGGGAGCAAATGGAACTGAAATGAATACTGTTCAAATAGATTGAAAAGTACAGTGAAGAACTTGGGAGTCATTTTATTACAACCTCTGCTAAGGAAAACAGTATTTTATCTTTTCTGACTTTTGGCTTATAGTTGCATCTTACATCCTTTCATTTCTTTCTTTTTGCTGTCTTTTCAGTGGAGTTGGTGGAGAGATGTGAGGCTAATTTGGAGAAGCCAGACTTGGCCATGTTGGGGGAATCTTAGATGTATAGCCTTCCAAACTGGCTCTGATAATCTTACATAGCTGCTGCCAGGATCTGAAGCACAACTCAAAGAAGACAGTTTGGCTTTGTATGACGAGAGGGGGATAATACAACCCCCAGCTACTTAGACTCTCCTCTGTCTAGAACCCCTCTTCCCCCTTTCATCAAAATCTTTTCCTTAGAGGCTTCCGATATCACTCGATTGACTGATTAAAGTAAATACCAGATGTTAGGAATGTATCTCTAACTTGTGGAGTGTCTGGGGAGATAATTTTGAGCAGGAAACCTTGTAGTTCTTGCTCTAGCTCAGTTATTCTTAGAGTGGTCCACTGATGGACAGTATTGGGATCATGTGGGAGCATGTTAGAAAGGCAAACACTTAGGTACCACCTCAGACCCACACAATCAGGCTGTCTAGGGTGGACCCCAGAATCTTTAATAAGCTTTCAGCTAGAGCAAACTACATTTTGCTGTAGCTGATATTCCTCTTAGTCTCCTGCGTAAATCCTCCTATTTACCGGATTTGCTACAGTGTAGCATCAGTTAGACTGTAAGCTCCATGAAGGCAGTACTCACATCTGCATTGTTCACTGCTGTTATCTTCACCACAGAGTCAGGCGCAAAGGGAGTACTCAGTAAATATTCATCAAATAAACAAGTGATGTGGATAAACATTGTAGTTAGGTAAAGATGCCACACTGCCTGTTTGCAAAGTTTGAGGAAGTCATTGCTGTGTTGGCTAGTTTCTGTTGGCCCTGAAGGGTTGCACATGACCATGCATCTGGACACTACAGCAGCTTACAGGCTCTAGGTCACCATGTGGCTAGGAGGATCCTCCACAGATGGGTTTCTTAACTTCATAAACCAAATGGAAACTCTTGAAATGAAGTCCTTGAACAAGAAAGGAATCTCAGATCCATTGTTTAGTAATGTCTGCAAGTCCTGTTAAAGAAACAAAAGGGCCCAAAAGTAACTTCCTACATAGCATTCAAGAAATGCCACCAGTGATCCTTGGGGACTTTTTTTTGGTGATTTTTTTTGTATTCATTATGCTATTACAGTTGTTCTATTCCCCTCCCTTCATTCCCCTCCACCCTACCCCCCCGTCCCCACCATTACCCCCCCTTTGTTTATGATCATGTGTCTCAAGTTCTTTAGATTCTATATTTCCCATACTATTCTTGCCCCCCCCATCTATTTTCTATCTACTGTCTATGCTACTTATTTTCTGTACCTTCTCCCCCCTTCTCCTCCTCCCACTCCCCTGTTGCTAACCCTCCTTCCAGGACATCTTTAAACGCTCCAACATCCGAATTATAGGGGTACCAGAGGGGGAAAGGAACAGCCACCTTGGGGACTTTTCTAATGCACTTGGTTTGAACCAATTTCCAGGTCCCAAAGCAGCGTCTTCATGTACAGTTTTATGGCTGAAGTGTACAGCATAATGACTCTTGGCTAGATTTAGAACATTTTTACCATAATCTCTACCTGAATTAGTTTGGGTCTCCATATGACACTCTACTTACTCCCTCTAGAATGAACTTTGGGACCTTTATGCACTTTTTTCTTGTACTTGGTCCTGCTTGCTAGATCTCATTTGGATTCTCTAGACTGATAAGAGGCACTGCCATAAGAATAATTTTTCTTATCTACCAGTAATACTCCCAGGAATGTTCTTGTTCTTTAACTTTCAAGAAGCACTTACTAATGTTTCAGCAAAGCTAAAAATGTTTAGCTTCCTGAACACTGAATGATACTTGAAAATCTGTGGTATATATACTTCTGAAATACTATTTTAAATTACATTAACTAGTCTATTTAACAGAAGGGGGTCATGACTCACTTGAATCTTTAGCATGAGGGGAGGACACAGAGCATTTTAAACAGATTCCTCAGCTTAAATAGTAGTATAAGTTGGTGAACTGCAGCTTAGGGGAGACAAAAATTCTTTAGTTAGGAACTAGGCTTCAAAGCAGCCCTGGATGTGTTCCTGTAGTACCTTACATAGACCTCCCTTTTAATAGAAGTGCTCTTCTGATTCCAAGGCCTCTGCTGTCCCTCCTTTGCCTACCTAGTCCTCATCACTGGGTCAAAAGGTACCTTGGAAACTCTAGTATGGGCCTTGCCCTATCTGGGAATCTTCTCCAGTGTTCATGATATGACCCAGACTACTTTGAGTAACCACTTGCCACTGCAGAAGACAGCTGCTAAAAGAAGAGTGTCTTCTACTCACTGGAATGGCAGTCACAGTCTGTTGCACTGCTTCCTGTTGTCAGAGAAGCTCTGCCATGGCTGCTCTGTAACTTACCCTCAAAGGATTATTCCTTCTTGCAGTCAAGCTTACCCAGCTGGGAACCAGGCAGCTTTCACTATGCTGCCTGTGCCATCTTAATTCTTGGTAGAGGAGCCATTTGAAGGACCCATAGCCATGTGGAGGTTCAGTTGGTGAATACAGATAGCCCAGAAACTGCAGTCTGCGGGGAATAGTCCCATAGAGACTTAATAATTTGTATTATAGATGGCAGCTGCCACCCACCACTATGCACATAGTATGTCTGGCTTGATCACTTTGTGTGAACCTAACCCAGAAAGGAGATTCCTTGTTGGATTTGAGCAGGTATAGCAGGCAGTAGTGGGAGTACTTCAGTGGCTTGGGGTTCACAATAGAAAGTAGAAGTGGACATAATCAAGGTGGAGACAGGCAGAGGGGTGGTTGAGGTATGTGTGAAATACATATCTATTCAGTGGTCCTACGTGCTGGGCCAGGTATTCCTTATCCTCCATATGCAGTCTCTCAAGCTTTGTCATGAACTGGAAATTATTGGAGAAGCTTTGGGAATTTCCATCTCTAAGGGCCCTGATTTAACTCACACTAGTTAGGTCTGTTACAAGAAGCTAGGTTTACCTCACCTTTGTGAACTAACCTTCACATTGATCCACCTTTTGATCATACCCATGTTGCTGCTCTCTGGAGGGTAACCGCCTAGTAATGGCAGCCTTTGCTTTTACAGAAAGACGAGAGGATCTTCGAGGAGGATTTATGCTTTGTTTTTTGGATGATGGAGCAGGAATGGATTCAAGTAAGTGATTGCTTATTTGGGGGAGGATATACCGTAAACATTTTTATAAGCTACTTACTGTATTAACTTCTGTTTTTGTTGCTTCGCTTTTGTGACTTGAAGATCTATCCATAGAGAGAAGAGTCTGTTGCAACATCTCAGGCTTAATTCCACTAATGGATTTGCGGGGTCTTGTCTTAGCGTGGGAGCTAGCATCTGAATGGTAGCCTGAATCAGTCAGATTGCCTGTCTTTTGACATTATATGTGCCAGCTTGCACAACATCCTTGAGCCAAAACTATAGGACCCCCTCTCCTAGCCTCAAGCCTTATTACTGTGTTTGGGTAACAGAACATGGCCATAGTCATGGCTAAACTTAAACTGACAGGCTAGTCAGGGGTTCTGTCCAGTTGCCTCATGGTTGTAAATTTCCTTGGACAAAGGTTTTCATTAAACACACAGCCCTGCTTTGGTTAGCAAGGCTCAGACCTTCATTTTTGAGGAGCCCGAGAAAGAAATGCAAACTTTTTACTCTCCTATGCCTGTCACTTCAGGTGATGCTGCCAGTGTGATCCAGTTTGGGAAGTCAGCCAAACGAACGCCTGAGTCCACGCAGATTGGGCAGTATGGGAATGGGTTAAAATCGTAAGTACACTAGAAGCCTGTCACAGGACTTAAAATCAAGTGACACTGTCCTGTTTCTGTCCCATGAAAACTTTCCTCTTGCTTGTCTCTATCCCTGTAACTCTGGAGCAGAAGACAAGTTAAAAAGGAGTAGTTGGGGACTTACTGTTGTTCAGCCTAGTGTACTTCACAGATTGAGAAGTATGAATGTCCAGAACTAGTTGGGGTGGGAGAAGCTTTTCTTTTGGCACTGCGTTCTGGTACAGCACCTCCCGTCCTGTTGAAAATTGTTATTTTACCCCAGGGTTGAGGTATTGAGGTTTTGTGGGGTTGGTATATATCTGATAGTGAGGAGGTTGCTTCATGGCGTAGCAGTGTACCCTGAGCATCTGCCACATATCACATTCTGTGCTAGGCACTGAGATCTAGGTGAGTTGGAGAGATCCAAACCCTCCCCTCTTGGAGGACATGGTCTCCACTCTCATACCCTGCTAGGTCCTGTAGCAGGAACCTACCTAATGTCTTTAAATCCTTGGGACTTCTTTCTTGGTTCCCAGCCCTTGGTTCCCACTTGTTTTGTGTTTGGAATGTGTTGTTCTGGTTTTGACTGAAACCCCAAGAGAAAGGTTTCTATTTCTGAAATGCTCACTTCCAGCTGTACATACCTTTGAATGGAATAAGTTTTAGTGGAATTGGAGTTTGCACAAATGGAATTCTAGGTCACATTTCCAATCTTGCTGTGGAAACGTGTTATTTTGTTTGTTAGAATGTGGTGGTCAACAGCATTAGTTGTCCCTCACATGGAGCCTGCTTTGAAGGAAAGTGACTTTGGGGACCTGGTTCCTGGGCTTTTCAGTTTGTCTCTCAGGGCAGGAACCAAATGGTGATAATAGGCACTTACCACGTGCCAGGCACTATGCTAAAAACTTTACTTGAATGATTTTGTTTAATCTTCACTGTGGTCCTATGAGTTGTAAGTACTTTTATTCTCATTTTCAGATGAGGAAATTGAGGTTTATAGGGGTGAAGTGATCTGCCTAAAAATATAAAAATGTCCAAGTGTAGAGATATGAACCAGGGATTTCTGAAGGCAAAGTCAGAGCTGTTCGTCTCATTTAAGTCAGAAACTAAAGTTCAAATCTCACCTCAGCCCCTTAATTACTTCTTTGAGCCTCAGCTTCCTCTTCTATAAATTGAAATTATGATTTCATACCGAGTCGGTTAAGGATTAAATGCTATCATTGCTGTGAGAGCCCTAGCCAGGTTCTAGCCTCTTTTTTTTCTTTTTTAAGATTTTATTTATTTACTTTTAGAGAGGGGGAAGGGAGTGAGAGAGGGAGAGAAACATGCAAGAGATACATTAACCCAGGCATGTGCCCTGACTGGGAGTCAAACCAGTAACCATTCAATTCAATTCACAGGCTGGCGTTCAGTCCACTGAGCCATACCAGCCAGGGCTAGTCTCTTTTTTAATTTCTTTTTTTTGATCTTTCCATGTCAGATTCCTGACCTAAATCACTGGGTCTCGGGCAGGGCCTAGGAATCTCTGTTTTTCATAGGTTCCATAGGGGATTCTGGTGTGGGCCAGGTAAGTCCTCAACGACTAAGGTCCTCCAGAGTCATTGTGGTGTAAGGAGCACTGCCTTGATTGTAGGCCACCTTTGTCCTGTCTGTCTTTTCAGTTCTCTGGCCTCAGGTAAGCCATTTGATCTCTCCAAATATCTATTTTCTAATCAAGAAAACAGGATTCTCATCTCTGGTAGTCCTTCTTACAGAGTAAGTTTCATCAGCAAATAAAATGTGACTGAAAGCTTAGAAAACTGGGAAGGAAAGCATACAGAAGTTGAAGGTGTTGTCATTACTATATTTGTAGTAGGACAACTTTTATAAAGGACCCATTGAGATGGAGCCATCTGGTGTTCAGAGTGAATTTATTTTGAAACCAATTCAGAAGTTCAAAAAGAGTTTTAGGAAAAAGTGATTTGTGGTGAGAATAGGGCTGAGAAGCAGGGAAGCCAGCAGAAAGATGGCATTTCAGGGATGTTGCTATTCAGCCTCCACGGTCATGTTCAAAGACAGTAAGAAGAAAGAGGCACAAATTGAGAGTTTTTGCCAAAATTAGGCAAGAATAAGCTTTGCAAAAGACAAGATAATCTGCCTTATATTGCCACCCAAAAGCTTTAGGGAAGGAGGACTATGAAATTGTCAGGGGAAGGAGCATTGCCAGAACTTGGGAACTAGAAGAGGAGAAAAAGAACTTGGCAGCCCCCAGAGTGTCTCTGGATAGTGTCCTGGGAGTTTTCCTGAGCATTTGGGAAAATGGGACAGGGCATTCATTTGTGTATTTGGCATACCAGTCTGGTTTATATTTGTACATAGATGAGAGTAATAAGACTTTATTGCCATCACCTCCCTAGGGGTATTATGAGGACTAATGAGATAATAGCCATAAAGCTTACATGCTGCTCAGAAGAAAGGAACTAAATCGCTCCATTGTTCAGTGGGTAGTCCTGCCAGTGGTGCTCACGCATCTTCCGGGCAACTGTTCCATGTTGTCTGGAAGGGCCTGTCCTGGCCTGTTCCTCGGATGAACCAGATAGAGGAAGGAAGCAGTTGATTCTGTTCAGACTTTTGCCTTGTGGAAGTGAGTCTCTAGGCACATTTCCCGGAAACAGTTGCATCCAAAAGCAGGGACCCGCCTGTGTCATAATGAGCTTGAGATGGTGAAACAATTTTGAGACTGAGTATGGCTGTAGTTATAGGACCTGAGCCAATTATACACCTCTTTGAAAACTGATCAAGAATTATATTTTATACAGTTAGCCTCCATTTTGGCTGAGGCCTGAGATTGTACTTTTTTTTTTTTTTTTAGGACTTGTGAGCATAGATAGTAAGTAGGTTGTTTCCTTGACAGTGCTGCCATTTGATGAATGGATGGGAGGGAGTTTATGTCAATAAAGGAAGGACAGGATGGGAGCTGGTTGTGGTTAGCATGGAAGATGACGTATTAAAGGTATCAGTTTCTGGAGTGAAATCTGATGGGGGCACAGTCAGAGGGTATATATAGCAGGCCTTGTGTGACTGGAATAAACCTAGAACATGGGCAGCAGGGTTACTTGTTATCATTGTGGCAGCAGCCGGAGGGAGAGACTAATGATTGACTAATGAATGTGCCTTAGAAGGGTGTTGAGCTATCCCTGCGTGGTAAGTGTGGTTGAGAAGGTTTGAACGAAGGACTGAGGCCAGGGGAAGGGCAGAGAAGGAGTGTCAGATGGGAGGAAAGGGGATGAGGGCTGTGGAGCTTAGCTCAGGATCCTGGGACCTTCTTAGGGAGGCCTTTCGGAAGCCCTCCAAAGGGCTTGAAAAAGGTAGATTTGCTCCTTTTTCAGATGAGCTTCTGAATCTCTTGGAGAATAACCCATTTCTTCTTTTTTTCAGAGGTTCAATGCGAATTGGGAAGGATTTTATCCTTTTCACCAAAAAGGAAGACACCATGACCTGCCTCTTCCTGTCTCGTACCTTTCATGAGGAGGAAGGCATTGATGAAGTAGGTCTCATCCTTGTCCGAGTTGCCATTCCATGTTTCCTGGGTCTGCCCAGGCTGTTTTTCATAGGTCATTTGCAATTCTGGGCTCATTGGGGTTACAAGATTGCAGCCATGCCCCTGTTAAGTGGGGTAGCTGGTTGGATGAATCGGTTGAGGGGTTAAAGCAGATATCTTAATGTGAAGTAAAATCTCAAAGCTTCAGGCAGTCAAGTGGCAGGAACCAAGATTTGAATTTATAACTCCCCTAGATCTATAGCTTCATTCAATCTCTTCAGTGTCACTATTGGAGAATTGTTTTTTTCAAGGGGGATATTTGGGGCTTCTGCGACTATGGGTGGAAACCACAGCTGGCAATAATAACAAGAATAGCACTGTCTTTCCCGTATGATGGTGATTTTGTGGAATGCACTGTGAGTGCATTTTCTATCTATGTCATAAGCTACAAGTTAGATGCCCACAGGGACTGGGTAGGTACTGAAACTGGTGAGCATATGGAAGAGATCATTGTAAGATTTTTGCTAAATGGCAATTGACACTCAGCCCCGGGCGATTATCATTATGCTGTAAGGAAGGCCTAGTGAATCTACAATATCCTGATTCCAGATATCTGCAGAGCTAGTCTGGTGAGGCCTTTGCCTCCTCATGGGGGTGGGGGGGTGGGAGTGGATCACAGAAGGCCTTGGTCTGTCTAGTCTCAGACTAGACTTTTATCTCCTTTCATATGTGAGAAATGGAGGCCAGAGCTTGAGAGAAGGGGCTAAGAGGGTCTGCAGAGAGAATTCTGTGGCTGTCACATTAGCAGAGTGGTGAATTCAGTTAAAATTTTCAATCTTCTTTCTTTTGGTTACCTATGATTAAATTTGTATTAGTCCTGTTTAGATATGAGCCTAAATCATAGCAAATTAGTTCATGTTGGGAATAAAAGGTTATCTTTTTCTACCATCTTCCCTTAGCAAGCCAGTGAATTGAGTTTGCCTTTTTGGTGAGTGTTCGTTCTTTGAGAATGAGGAAAGTGCTGCAGCTGGGGAGAGCAGGCTCCTGGGAAAAGGTGGGGCAGGAGAATTTAGCCTAGGCTGGGGTTTTAAGGAATGTTTCCTTATAGACTGAGGGTGGCCGGAGGAGGGTGTTTAAGTGACTATAAATAGGCTGTTCGGGTTGTGGGAAGGGACTTGTTAGAGAGGCCACTTGAAGAAAGATGGTGGCCTCTAAGGAGCAGGGAAGGCCAGGTCAGGCTTGACCTCAGGGCCTTGGTGAGTATGAGACTTTATTAAAAGCACCTGTTACAGAGAATTTAAACAAGTGTGTGGTGGTATCAGGTTCTCTTTTAAAAAGATAGTTTGGTTATTGTGTAGTGATTGGACTGGAGAGATTGGCGTATTAGAGTGGACTAGTTGAAAAGCCCTCTGTTTAGCCTGAAGGGACTTGCAGCAGGGAGGTGAGAGAAAGTAGGAGTCCTCTTCATCTTTTTAGCATGTGGGACCCACAGGTTAGGTATGTCAGTGGAGAGAGGAAAGGGGAAGAAGGTGTCATGAATGACTCAGGTTCTAGCGTGGCAGTGGGCATGGTGGGCTGGTTGGCTGGAGCTGGGGAAGAATGGAAGAGGAACAATTGTAGGGGAAGAGTGTTTTGTCCAGGGCATTCAAAATTAAGTTGGAGCTTGAGGGAGCCTGACTCAGGATTCATGGTAGTAGGTGAGCTTAACTAAAAGAGCTTGTAGGGTGGGAAGAGGACCAAGGATCTCAAGAAGGCTGAAATTTAAAGACTGGGGAGAGGAGAAAGTGCCAGAGGAGACAGGAGTGGCTAGAGTAATAGGAGAGCCGGAACAGTGGTTACATTGAAACTAAAGGAGAAGTGTTTCAGTGACAGGGACGAGTGCCAGTGGGACTGAATGAATGCCCACAGTTTAAATAATGCCATTGTCACCTGGGACTGCTGTGAAGAATGGGAGGTGCAGATGAGATAAAAATTCACAGAACACAAATGGAATTCAATTCCCTGGTGAAAAGCTAGGTTGGAATTTTTTCCTTACTTGGTGCTAGAAGGTCACTGTTTTTTTGGATTGTACTGTAGTGTGAACTCAGCCAAGATTTCAAAATAAGATCATTTTTGGCTGGTTAGGAATGTGTCCAAACCAGTTCTGGGGGTGGATACTATAGGCATGAAGTTTCTTAGAAACCAACAAAATCTCTTAGAACTCTTCTAACAGTTTATCACCGTAGCACTTGTCAAAATAGGGTTTTTTTTTCCCTCACTGGTGGGCCATCTGATTTGAACTTCTGAGGGAATCCCAGCAGGCAGCCCATCTGCAGGGCTCCCTGAGAAACCTGTCTGGGGAGGGGGCGAAGCACAGTGAGGCCTCTGGGGAAGTGGCATTTGAGGTAGGGTTTTTAATGAAAGAGTAGGATTTTTTTTCCAGTTTTATTGAGGCATAATTGACAAGGGTAGGGTTTTTTAAAACATTACTTAGACGTAAGATTTAATTCTACACTTAAGAGTATATTAAAATGTATGTACAGTTTAGTGAATAGTCACAAAGCAAACACCCATGTAGCCACCATCAGTGGACTAATGCCAGAAGTTCCCAGTGTGTCTTTCAATCAGATTGCTTATTGCACCCCTGAAGGAACTATCTTCAGGTGACTTTGTGATGATTATTTTATTGTTTTTCTTTATAATTTAGTCACTTATGTATGCATTCGTGAATAACTGAGTTGTGCATATTTATGAATTTTATATAAGTGGACTTGTAGGTTTTTAAAAGTTTTTTCTTTTGTAATGTGACATCGTGAGATTCATCTGTGTTGATGCTAGCAGCTGTTAGTTCATTTTCATCACTGTATGATACTCCATTGTATGAATATGCTACAGTTTAATTGTTTACTTTGTAGTGGATATTTTGCTGTTCTTACATGTTTGCTGGTACATACAGGGTCAGCGCAACTAACGCCTTTTTTAATTACAAAATCATAAGCATGTAATTCTGTATCATAATATCTCAAATAAGCACTCCATATGACATTTTAGGTAAGGTGTTCAAATTAGAACTGTCAATTACTACACCCATATTATTACTCTGCCAACCACAATCAAGCAGGCATTACTTTTGCTGGATCCTGTATATACAAAAGTTTGTCTCAGGATGTATACCTGGGAGTGGAATTACTGAGTTGTAAGTTATGCTTATGTGTATTTTCAGCTTTAGTAAATAATGGCAAATACATTTTCCCTAGTGGAAAGAGTAAAATTATTAACAAACTAAGGAAATGGCCAAGGACATTCTAAGCAGGAAGCTCCCTTTGCATAGGCCCCCAGGGCATAACCCAGCATATGTCAGAGGACCTAGTGATATGAGGCTGACTCTTGGAAAGAGCAGGAGCCACAGAGCCTCTGGTGAAGGGCTGTGGAGCTTGAGCCTCATGTCTGGGTCAGTGTGGAGCCACCGTGGGGAGGGATAAGATGAACGCACCTTTTAGGGGAAGTGTCCGTCTGTGCTTACTCCAAAGGTGATAGTCCCATTGCCCACCTGGAATGCTCGGACCCGGGAGCCTGTCACAGACAACATGGAAAAGTTCTCTATTGAGACAGAGCTCATCTACAAGTATTCTCCCTTCCGCAATGAGGAAGAAGTGATGACTCAGTTCATGAAGATTCCTGGGGACAGTGGTAAGTAGGCTTTGAACCTGCATTGCCTGGAATCTGGAGCTTCAGAGCCATGAGTGGTGTGGGAAGGGGCTGGGGGCACCTGGCACAAAGAAAGGATTTCTGTTCTCTAGGAACACTGGTGATCATCTTTAATCTCAAACTCATGGATAATGGACAGCCAGAGCTAGACATAATGTCAAATCCAAGAGATATCCAGATGGCAGAGACTTCCCCAGAGGGCACGTGAGTGTGGCTGGGAAGGGAGGGAAGCCCTGGAATTGGTGCCCATTCTCTCAGTTGGGAGAAGCCCAGGAGGTGACTTAAGGAGAGAGGGGAGAGCTCATTCCCCAGTTTCCCAGTATTAGAGTTCATGAAGCTGAGAACTCCACATCTTGGCTCAAGGCAGAGGGATGAGTAGGACAGCAGATCCTCAGCTAAGCCAGAAGAAAAGATGAATGATTCCTTGCTTTCAACTCCTTGATTTGACAGAAGAAACTGAGGCTCTAGATTGGGGAGAGGAATTATCAGGTCATGGTGGGACTGAGTCAGATGTCTTGTGGGGCATCTGTGCTGGGGACATGAGAGAGGGCAGGATGCGATGCCAACACTGTGGGAGTACACTTTTGTGGCAGGAGAAGCCGAGATGTGAGGTGGAAAGGTGGAGGGCCTACAGAAAGGCCGTCCTACTGTTTTCTTGGTGAGGCTGGTTGTGGGGTGGGTGACAATACTCCTTTGTTCTTGCCACCTCCAGGAAGCCTGAGCGACGCTCATTCCGAGCCTATGCTGCTGTTCTTTATATTGATCCCCGGATGAGAATCTTCATCCACGGGCACAAGGTGCAGACCAAGAGGCTCTCTTGCTGCCTGTATAAGCCCAGGTAGGGGCCTGCCCACCTTGCCTTGCTGTTTCCCTTAGACCTGGCAACACTTCTCTAGGGCGTTTTTGGAGTGATGCTAGATAGGCTGTACCTGTGTTGGCTGTGTTAGAGCCTTCAAGCTGTCTATGATTTACTGTGGGAAACTTCAGGCTCTTGGGGGAGAAACAGGTAGCCGATGGGCTGTAGAGATTGGCTGGTGAAGCTCATTGAGTGTGAGTGCCCTCTGTGACATGGAGGGTGCCCAGCCTGGCACAGTTAGCTGTCCAAGCCTCTTGGCTTCAGGGCTTTTAGACACTATACAGCAAAGCAAAGACCCTGGCTAATTACTGAGGTATGTTTATGCCGTGGGATTAATAACACCTTGTGAGTAGTTAGGTTGCTTATCCAACTGCATCAGGAGGCAAGGGGCAAGTAGAATGAGTTGTCTTTTTGCTGAAATAAGCTTGGCTCTGACTCACCAGGAGGGGCCAGGAAGTCAGGGTGCTTCCTGAGCTGCTTTGGGTTGTTGCCCTGCCCTCTACTGTTGGGGCCCTTAGGTCGCTTTTTCCCCTGTTCAGGATGTACAAGTACACATCAAGCCGTTTCAAGACTCGGGCAGAGCAGGAGGTGAAGAAAGCCGAGCATGTAGCACGGATTGGTAATGTTACCCCTTTGTAGGAGGGGTTAAGTGGGGGTCACCTGGGTACACAGCTCATGGCCAAAGTAAGATCCAGGAAAAAGCTCCAATACCCTGGGGCAGTTCCTCCCCACACCCCTCCCCACTCTGGCCAATCTTAGCAAGTTTTTCTCCCCAGACCCTTTCCTCTTCTTCAGCCATTTGTAGGAACTTATCTAAAACAGTGTCAACTGCTGGGCTTGCCCAGAGTGAAGAGTCCCACATTGTCCTCTGGCCCATATATTTGTTAAACTGGTTTTTATGTCTCTAGGGCAAAAACCTCAAGGTCTGCCATGATAACAGGGCTTCTTGGTTGCTTAATGGAGAGTGATTGGCTGAGGATTTTGATAACTTCCAGCTCTTGCTGAGTGTTTAACTTGGGTTGCCTTTAGCAGTTTTTGACATGTTCTGATTCATTTGTAAAGTTTGAAAAGCATGTGTCAGGTATAATAGTGCCAGTTTCCTTGTGCTCTCCTTGATCTTCCTTTTTGAACTGACTCTGCAGTCCAAGCAGGGAGGTTGTTCACCAGCTCACTTGTACCTTGACAGTGTACACACACCCCCCACTCCCCACATACCCCTTGTTCAGTAGGGACTGCATTGTGGGATCCAAGAGGGATTGCTAAGACTTTTGAACCTTTGAACTCCTTGTCATGGTTTCTTCTGGTATTCAGCTGAAGAGAAGGCCCGGGAGGCGGAGACCAAAGCTCGGACATTAGAACTACGCTTAGGGGGAGACCTCACACGAGACTCCAGGGTAAGGATTCAGACCCACACAGCTCTTCTCCAGCATTTCTGCTAGTAGGGTCCCAGAGCTGGCCTGGCTCTGCCCCAGGACAGTCCTGAAACCTTTGCCCTAAAGCTGGGAGGCTTTGATGTTTCCCTAATCACTGTTGAACACACTGTATGGCAAAGTCTTGGCTGATCATTTCAACATCCCAAATAACCATATAAAGTATGAACACTGTTAGTATCCTCAGTTTATAGAAAGAGAAATTGAAGTGAAAAGCATTACTTGCCCCAGGTTACACAGTGGCGAGGGTCAGAGCAGTTCTCTGACCCTCCCAGTCTGACACACACCTCTGTAGGCTATTGTTTCAGTAAGCCTGGCCAAGTGAGACACAGCTTTTGGGCTTGTCCCCATTTTCTCTAGAAAAGAAGTAAATATCTAGGTGTTGTTCTGCTTCCATGTGATGTAAAGTAAGAAAGTTTTAGATGTGTTGTAATGTTTCCTGCTATGGCCCAGAGCACCCGCCAACCCTCATGGGGTGCTGACATTTGTTTCCAGGTAATGTTGAGGCAAGTCCAGAACACAGCCATCACCCTGCGTAGAGAAGCCGATGTCAAGAAGCGGATCAAGGATGCTAAGCAGCGGTGAGTGCTAGAGCTGGCCTTTGACCTTTTAAGATTATGGAGTTTTTGTACTGATTTTTGACAGAACTTGAGGAATTCCCCCTCACCCTGTAAGTTTGCCATTCTGTCACAAAGATTGCTTTCAGAAAGCCATTTATGTTTTAATCCCAAATGCTGGTCAAATGTCTATTATAGAACAGTTTTTTCCTAGCTTAGTTTCTTGAGCTAGGAAAAGGCAGGGCAGTGCCAGTGCCTGGAATTGTTTACCAAACCTTTCTCACTGGCACCTATTTGTCTGTGTATCTTTCCTTCCTTCTCTTCGCCCTTCTCTGTCTCTCTCCTCTTTTAATCTCCTCCCCATTCCCTCCTTGCCTTTCCTCTTTATTTTCTTTTAAAGACTACATAAAATACTCATTGTATAAAGCTTGTAAAATACAGAACATCAAAAAGTTTTTTAAACTTAGCTATACTTATACTACCTGGTGATATCTACTCTTAATTTTGTTATTTCTGGTTACAGTTGTGGGATAATGCTATAGCTTGAGTTTTGGACCTTTCTCATCTAGAGGGTGTTTGTCTTGGCTTATTAAAGTATCTCCCTGTCCCACCTCTGTGTGTGGAGCCCCTCTGGGCTCTGGGCCTTGAGTTCCCGGCTTGCTTACGGCCTCCTTGTCAGAGGCACAGGCTTCAGGTTTCTTCTGTCGGAGTCAGTCTGTTGCATCTGTCTTTCAGTTTCCATGATTTTGCTGACATTTGTCACATGAAAGTCTCTTCTGTCACATATATGTCCATTGTTGTGAATATTTGCATTTTCAAAATTAGTTACTGTCACATTAGTGGAGTAGGTGCGCAGAAAACCTTGTGTTTATTCACTGTGTAACACAGGTTTGCAGCAGTGATATAGTATCCCCTTAATAACTAAATACACTCTGTTTTGTTACCAAAGGTCAAAGTTGTATGCTGTTAATTATGTGTTTATCCCGATCAAGTCTTAATAATTTACATATTGAATGAAAATACAGAACTTTTTGCTAAACATGTCTCAATTTAAGCTTAACACATTTTAAATACCATGGTAATCACGTGTTAATTGGTTGATCTACTAGAATTTCTTTTGCCTTCTCAGAGCGCTTAAAGAACCTAAGGAATTAAATTTTGTGTTTGGGGTCAACATCGAACACCGGGATCTGGATGGCATGTTCATCTACAACTGTAGCCGCCTGATCAAGATGTATGAGAAAGTGGGCCCACAGCTGGAAGGGGGCATGTGAGTACCGGGAGAGCTTTCCAGCCCAAGGCAGATGGTGGGAGGATTTCAGCCAGTGGAGTGACAGAGCTGTGTCGTCTTTCTCCATGCAGGGCATGTGGTGGGGTTGTTGGAGTTGTTGATGTGCCCTACCTGGTCCTGGAGCCCACACACAACAAGCAGGACTTCGCTGATGCCAAGGAGTACCGGCACCTACTGAGGGCAATGGGGGAGCACCTGGCACAGTACTGGAAAGACATTGCAATTGGTAATCTTCATTTCTCTTCATCTCCTTTATGGTACTCTCACTCACTGCCTAAGAGGGTGAAATTAGGAAAAAGGAGAAGCTGTCTCCTAACTAGATGTGTGGGTGTTTGCCTTCCAGCCCAGCGGGGAATCATCAAATTCTGGGATGAGTTTGGCTACCTCTCTGCCAACTGGAACCAGCCCCCATCTAGTGATCTGCGTTACAAACGCCGGAGAGCTATGGAAATCCCAATCACCATTCAGTGCGGTGAGTCAGTGGTCAGAACCTTCTTCTGACTCCTTCCCATCATAGTCCATGACTGTCTTTTCTCTTTGTCCCCATGCTGGTGTTCTAATTGGACTGACGTTCATGGACTCAGAGTCCCACTAGGATATGAGTCTGTTTGGTGATGGTCCTGGGAGCTCAGTCATAAGGCTGTGCTGAGTTTCACTGGTCCCTCCTGATTGAGCCAGAAAGTCATCCAACCTGCCAGATTTCAATGGGTTTGGGACCACATTGTTTATAGTGTGAGCGATGACTGAGCCAGGGTCCTGCTGGAGGAGGGAGGGGGGCTGGGGCATTGAGAGTCCATGATACAAAACTTCCATCCTTGCTGGTATCACTTCCTGAGAAGTAGTATTGTTCTGTAAGAAAGACACAGTTGGAGCCAGAGTAAAGGGCTTTGAATAGAAAGTCACAGGGGCATCTTTGCCTTGGACCTATCTGGGAGGAGCCTGACTATAGATATTGTTGGTTGGCGTGGCTGACTTTGGGGGGTGATTTCTGTGTCACAGATTTGTGTCTGAAGTGGCGGACGCTCCCCTTCCAGCTGAATTCTGTCGAAAAAGATTATCCTGACACCTGGGTTTGCTCCATGAATCCTGATCCTGAGCAGGACCGGTGAGCACTTTTTTCTAACACGGAGATTGTGGGTATCTCCATCCTCCCACCATGTTTTTTCCACTCTTTGGGCAAATAACTTACTATGCTTCTTGAGGTCAGTGCTCACATCTTTACATCTGTCTTGCTGCACATAATAAGTGTCCTGGAAATAAGAATATTTGTGTCCTACAGTGAGTATAACTCCATGCACTGGGAATTCTGAGGTGATTGCTCTGGTGAGAGAATGGGTTGGCTGAAGAGGAAGGACCTTACCCTGCCTGGAGCCCTGTTTTGCCATGGCCTCCTTTAGCAACTTCTCTATACAGGTGCGAGGCTTCTGAGCAGAAGCAGAAGGTTCCCTTAGGGACGTTCAAGAAGGACCTTAAGACACAGGAAGAGAAGCAGAAGCAGCTGACAGAGAAAATTCGCCAACAGCAGGAGAAGCTAGAAGCCCTGCAGGTGCGTAGTCACGGGCAGTGGCCAGAGCCAGGCTGTGTCAGTGTTCTGTCCAGGTTGGGATGGAGACTGTCAGTGGTTCCCTTTTTTCTGCAGGCTCAGTCTCACTCTGAACTGCCACCCATGAGTACTGCCAAAGGTTTCCAACCTCAGTCTCCATGCACACTGGTTCTCAAGTATGCCCAATTACTCTTAAAAAGACATTTTGTTTATATATCAAAAAGTGATCCAATTAATTTTTGGACTGTTTAATTAAACATTCATTTAAAATGAATGTTTAAAAACTCCAGAAAATGAGTATCTTACTTTGGAGGTAACCACCATTAACTACATATCCTTCTACCTTTTTATGACTGCTTGCATACACGTAAATAGAAAGAGCATGATGTATCATGATATACATATAAATATAGTTTTTTAGATATATAGTTATTTTTTTAAGACTTTATTTTATTTTTAGGGAGAGGGGAAGGGTGGGAGAAAGAAAGGGAGAGAAACATCAATGCGTGGTTGCTTCTCACATGCCCCTACCCGGGACCTGGCCTGCAACTCGGGCATGCGCCCTGACTGGGAATGGAACCAGTGACCTTTTAATTCACAAGCTGACACTCAGTCCACTGAGCTACACCAGCCAGGGCCATACATTCATTTTTAAATGTTTTTGCAAATTTGATTGGCAGAGGTATACGTTTTATCATTTGAATTTCTTTCATATTTCTAAAATTGGACAGTTTTTCATGTGTCTTTTTGTTTCTTATAGAATTACTAAATTTCTGTTTTCTCCCCTTGATTTGTCACTTTTTTTTTTTTTTAAGATTTATGTATTTTTTAGAGGGGAAGGGAAGAAGAGAGGGAGAGAAACATCAATGTGTGACTGCCTCTCATGCGCCCCCTACTGGGGACCTGGCCCATAGCTGAGGCATGTGCCTTAGACTGGCAATTGAACTGGTGAATCTTGGATTCGCAGGCACTCAGTCCACTGAGTCATACCAGGCAGGTCAGGGTGTTTTTGTTTTGTTTTTTTTAAATAGATTTGTGGTATCAACCCTTTATTTTATGTATTATAAAAGCTTTTTGCTTCCCAGCTTCTATGTCTGTACAGATACTCTAATTCAGACATCTTGTACATGCTTCCCACCTGTCCTTTCAATGGATGCCGGCCTCTCATGCGCCCCCTACTGGGGACCTGGCCTGCAACCCAGGCATGTGCACTGACTCATTCACCAGGCTTTTCCCATCTCTTTTGGGCTGCTTAAGGGAATTTAGCCCAGTCTCTCAATTGCAAGGTTAATCATAGAGAATCCTGCAACTTGCTAATGGTTTAGTGTATAGGTATTTTTTTGTCTTCCCAGTGAGAATGGGAGGCTTATACTATTAGGACTGTGGCCCAGGTTTTCTTTTGTATTTGTCCGCTCTCCTAGATAGTGGGATCCAAAGAATTTGCCTGAATGTACCAGGATAGGCAAACAACCTTATTATGTTTCCTCTGCAGAAAACCACACCCATCCGCTCCCAAGCTGACCTGAAGAAATTGCCTTTGGAAGTAACCACCAGACCTTCCACTGAGGTAAAGCCTAGGGGCAAGAGAGGGGCTTTTCCTCAGGTGTCTTGTACTAGCATCAGTGTTTTCAATCTCTCTGGACCTCTTTTAGGAACCTGCACGTAGACCTCAGCGTCCTCGGTCACCTCCTTTACCTGCTGTGATCAAGAATGCCCCGAGCAGACCCCCTTCCTTGCAAGCTCCAAGGCTCACCAGCCAGCCCAGAAAGGCTTCTGTCATCAGCAGCACCCCAAAGCCTCCTACCCTGGCAGCCCGGGAGGAGGCCTGTACATCTAGGCTTCTCCAGCCACCCGAGGCACCCCGAAAGCCTGTTAACACTGCAGTCAAGACTGTGCCTCGGCCCACCCCTCTAGTGCAGCCACTGTCACCATCTGTGCTGCTCAACTCCAAGACCCCTCGGGAGGTCCCTGCCCCCAGAGCCATCAGGACTCCAGTGGTCAAGAAGCCCGAGCTACCTAGTAAACTTCCCTTGGTGAGATGCTTTTCTTCTTTCAGCCCCCAGCCCATCCTCAGTGGTATAAGGGTAGAGTTGGGCAGTGGTCAGCTTGTGCTGGGAGAGCCTGAGAGGGGAGGAGTTGTCTGGATAGCTGAAGGGACTTGGTCAGGGGCATAGAGCAGTTTGGTTCTTTATCCAGGGAGCTTTTCACTGCTCCTCTGAGTTTTGGTTTGCCACAGACTTGAAATGCCTCTACTGGCTTCTCATGCTGTGGACATAGGTGGGTGGTCTAGCTCAGACAACCTTGCTGAGCTATAGTAGTGGCTGGTGTGTCTCAGGGAGCTCACAGCTGGCTGGACAGGCAGGCTGGCCAAGTATGGAGTGAACTAAGAGACTTCCCCTATGAGAGTTTTGAGCAAAGGTCCTCATGGGCACAGGGGCCAGGAGATTGATGTGTACTTAGTGTCAGGGGGGTGCTTAGCCCTGACATTGGCCTGCAAGCTTCTCTCTGAAGCTCCTTTAGGCCAGATGGAATCTTCTGCACTTCAGGGGCTGACATGGCTCCTTAATATTCCTTCTCTTGTTCTAGGCGCCCCCTGCTCGGAAGCGGACTCTTGAGGTCTCTGATGAAGAAGAGGCTGAGGAAGAGTCTGAGAGGAGGAAGGAGAAGTCCAAACGGGGCAAAATTTCTGTGAAGGAGGAAAAGAAGGACTTGAATGAGGTAGGTGCTCAAGGTGAAGTTCTCAGAGCTTGCTTCCTTCCTTCTCAGAGCTTCCACCCCCCACCTGCAGTCTATGTGCTAGCTCCATTTGTGCTCTGGGATATGAGCCTGCTAGAAGCCTGGTTCATCTCTGAAGGACTTGAGGTCACAAAGAGGACTGGAAACAGTGCTGGGTAGGATCCTGAGTTAGAGTGGCCTCTGGCTCTAAGCACAGGTCTGAGGTTACATGGTGCAGATCAGGGAGGCTTGAAACCCCTTGCTTCCTGTGTCTGTGATATTCTGCCCCATTGCCTGCTATCTTATTTGTAAAGGTACAGAAGGGTAGATACCTAAGATAGTGGTTTAAGGAGTGGCTGTCAGCCAGGCAATTTAAACTGCCACGTAAATCAGCACAAAGGTGACAGCTGATGACCCTGGGAAGTCAGTTATGCAAAAGTCTGCTCTTTGGGGGCCCTGGGGAAAGCCTCTAACAGACTGTTTTCCTTGTAGCTCTCAGACAGTCCTGAGGAAGAAGACTCAGCTGACTTTAAGAAGGCTCAGAAAGGTGAGTTCAGGAATGTACCTGGCAGTCTGTTGGGGAAGTGGGGCATCTCAGCCAGCAGGTCAGCTTATCCTGAAAGCTTATGGAGGCTTTCCTGGACCTGGGCCCCTGTGCTACAGTGGTTCCAAGTCTTATTCTTAGAATTCTGCAGAAAGCACACTCTTATGTATATTTTTAGCACTTAATTCCATGGTGTTCACATCTGGCAGTCACTCATCCTGCTGCTCTTTGCAACTCTCAGGGAAGGAAACCAGGGTCTCTGGGCTCCATGTCCCTGGCATAGTGCCAGTAAGCACCTAGGGGTTCTTGTCCCTGAAAACCCTGGGACAGCCTTCTTCTAGATGTCGCTGACTGAGTGAGGGACTCAGTCTAGTTTTATGACTTCTCCCCATCCCCATTCTCAGATAAAGGGCTGCACGTGGAGGTGCGTGTGAACAGGGAGTGGTACACAGGCCGTGTCACAGCTGTGGAGGTGGGCAAGCATGTGGTGCGGTGGAAGGTGAAGTTTGACTACGTGCCCACAGACACAACACCAAGAGACCGCTGGTAATGCCCCCTTTAAGAGGCTGGGTTGAAAGCTGGCCAGGGCAGGAGGAGGCTGTATGCCATCCTCGGAGCTCGTGGTACACCTGACATAAGCACTTTATCCTCCATAGGGTGGAAAAAGACAGTGAGGATGTGCGGCTGATGAAGCCCCCTTCCCCGGAGTATCAGAGTCCTGACACACAGCAGGAAGGTGGAGAGGAGGCGGAGTCCACGGTGGTCCAGCAGGCTGTGGTTGTGACAGATCCTTCCACTTCTGAATGCATCCGCATTGAGCCTGACACCACTGCCCCAAGCTCCAATCACGAGACCATTGACCTGCTCGTCCAGATCCTCCGGTGTGTTTGTCATCCTGCTCTGGGGCCGGCAGCGGTTCCCCACCCTCCACGCCATTCTGATTTCCTATCCGTGCCTTTTTCTTTCTTGTTTAGGAATTGTTTACGGTACTTCCTGCCTCCAAGTTTCCCTATCTCCAAGAAGGAGTTGAGTGCTATGAATTCAGATGAGCTGATATCGTTTCCTCTGGTGAGTCTGGCCTGACCTTTAATTTTGCACTCCACATGCCCCCTTGGAGATTGTTTTGATTGCCAGCTTTCAGCTGTGCACCTCACAGCCAGCTTCCCTTTCTTATGATGAGAGAATGGAGGGAGAGGAAGAGACTTTACATTGTGAAAAAGATATGGCCTAGCTGGACATGGCTTTGGTGTCATGAGACCTTGGGCCTGAGTCCTCACTTAGGGACAGTAGGCCTGGTTTGACATTTTACAATAAATACACCATTTTTCCTTTATCCCAGACAACAGTGAAGAACAGTCTCAAAGTTTCTGAAACTTGACTTTTAAGAGGGGTATATATAGAGAGAAGCTCATGATGTGTGGAAATGAGCAACGAGTCTTACTTAACCCAGCAAATGCTGATGTGGCACTTTCCCTGAGCAGGCCCTGTGCTAGTAGGGAGCAGAGAAAGAGTCCTGCTTCCAAGGGGCTTAAGATTCAGTAGAGACTGACTTTTTACCGGGTAGCCGAATGTGAGGTGGAGAGCAGTAAGTGTCGTGGAAGTGGGTAGCCTGGGAGAAGAGGAGAGAGTGGCAGGGGGGCTTTTTTGAATAAAGGCTCAGAAGGATGAAAGGGTATGTGGGGGTGAATATTTAGGAAAGAAGGGGGCCAGAGAGCCAGTATATGATTCATTTTGAATCTCTAGTCTTAAGCACAATGGCTTCACTCTCTGTATGAAATGAGAGAGCCAGCAAAATGTTTGAGCTGATGGAACTGTCAATCTGAACCATGTCTAGGACAGGGGTCAACAGACTTTTTCTATATAGGGTCTGTTAGCAGATTATTTTCAGCTTTGTAGGCTACGTAGTTTCTGGCAACTACTCATCTCTATTATATCCTGAGAGCCACCGTAGACAGACAATATGTGAAGGAAAGGATGTGGCTGTGTTCAGTAAAGCTTTATTTACAAAAACAGGCAACAGGCTGATTTGGCTCATGGGCCATAGTCTGTTGACCCTGCCCCGAAGAGGGTAACTCTGGTAGAATGTTTGGGAAGGATGGGTGGATGGGAGGTACAGGGATGAGGAGGCTGGTCCAGTTGTAAAAGATCAGAGGTGAGGGACTGAGAATGGAAGCCAGAATGGTAGGAGTGGACCAGAAGGTGGAAAGGCCATGTCACATGTCATTAGACTGGTTTTTCATTGTAGGCAAGTGATGGGGGAGGAGGCAGGGGCCGCCTGCCTCCTTGTGATTCAAGCCTGAGGGAATTGAAGGTTTATGACAAAGCTGTTAACTGGGAGAGAAAACAGGGTTTCCATCAGAGAAGGATAGTTACCCGAAATTTAATTGTGTTGGGCTGGAAGTACTGGCACTAAATTTCTGATTATGTCCATTGGGCACGAGTAGAGTGGGGGCTGTTACTTGGGGGCAGGAAGGTTGGACTAGAGATAGGGATCTCGGAGTCATCCACATCAAGTGGGATGAGTTTATGGTAGGAATAGCTAAGTTTTCTAGGGTGGTTTTTCTAGAAAAGGGAAATGGAATTGAAACTGCAGGATTGTATATTCAAGATGCTGGGCCCTCATTTGGCAGTATGTTCTTAATAAGCTTTTCCAGAAAGAAAAATACGGGGTTTTATCTCCATTCCACTTTAAAAAAAGAAATGAGGCTAGGAGTCAACACTAAACCTCCGGGAGGTGAAGAGTCTATTGTGACAGAGCCCAGATTTAAATCTGCTTTAGCTTAAAGTTGTTGCCAAACTCAAGGCAGAGCCTGGGTGCAGTGGGATCTCTGCAGTGGGCTCAGTGGCTCAAACTGAAACATGGTCAGCAGGAGCTTCTGAGCCTGAAGTAGTCTGTTAGCTTGTTCTTGTACAAGGAGGTATATCACTAATGCATCAACTTGATGCCCTCCTGACTGTAGTGCCTAAAATAACTCAAACTTTAATTTTTTAAATGTCAGGGATACAACAGAGTCTAGTGTTCATTATGTCGTTGTCAGTCTGAATGATCATGTTTTTTCCCACCATGCTGGACCAGGAGTTGCATAAAGTCCATGGGGACCCTGCAAATATATTATATATATATCTCTCTCTTGGTGGGTGTAGCTCAGTGGGTTGAGTGTGGGCCTGTGAGCCAAAGGGTTGTGGGCTCAATTCCCAGTCAGGGTACATGCCTGGGTTGTGGGCCAAGTCCCCAAGAGGGGGCATATGAGAGGCAACCACACATTGATGTTTCTCTCCCTTCTTTCTCCTTCACTTCCCCTCTAACAGTAAATAAGTAAAGTCTTAAAAAGTGCATATGTATATAACACTGAATTTATAATTTCTTTAAAATAAAATGTTTTAATTACTTAAAAAAAGACAAAGTAATTACTAAAAAAACTAATACAGATTTCAGTCAGATTCAAGACAATGTATACTGAATTTTAATATTTTGGAGCAAGTTCGAACATTAATTTTGTGCCGCCAAGATAATTGTTTTGTGTAGAACTTGAAGTTTCTTTTGCCATCTTGGTTTAATGAGATAACATTCTTGATTGTAAGGTGAATGACACAGGTAAATACTTAGAGTAATGGTTTTTAAAGACAGTCAGGAGCTACCCAATGCTAGGTAGCTCATATATCTTCCGAGAAGCAAATAAATGCTAGAGTTGGTAAGACTCATGCACCAACCCTCTGGCTTCCTTCCTGACAGAAAGAGTACTTCAGGCAGTATGAGGTGGGGCTCCAGAATCTGTGCCATTCCTACCAGAGTCGCGCTGACTCGAGGGCCAAGGCTTCTGAGGAAAGCCTGCGTGCCTCTGAGAGAAAGCTCCGTGAAACAGAGGAGAAGCTGCAGAAGCTGAGGACCAACATCGTGGCGCTCCTGCAAAAGGTGCAGGAGGTGAGCCAGGCAGCCCTCTCATTGCAGCTGGACCACCTGGTCTCTAAGGGAGGGGGCTTGGGCACCTCTCGCTCCCTTCTCCCCACTCGCAGGAATCTGTGGTTCCAACCTTGGCTGCACAGCATCCCGACCAGGCGGGCTGGAGGTGGTGCGGCTGCCTGGGCCTCATCCCAGCCAGACCCACGGTATCAGACTTTTGCCCTTGTTTTAGACATTTCGAAGTACAACCTGGTTTGAGAATGCTTCAAGCCATAAAATAGAAGTTCTCACTTTTCCAGATGACGCCCAGATGGGATTGGGTGGCCCTAAAATGGGGGGTGCCCTGGAGGGTCTCAGTTCTTCCTTCAGGCAGTAAACACTGAGGGCCTGCTCCCTGCTTGTCCCATGGATACCCAGTGAACCAGACAGGCGAAGAGACAGTCTCTGCTCTCACAGCCTGACACTCCAGTCGAGGAGATGGAATTATTGATGGTGGGAAGTGCCACCATGAAGTAGATGGAATGAGAGACTGGAAAAGGGGAGGCCACTTTACTAAGATGCTCAGGGGTGGTCTCTCTGAGGAGGCATTTGAGCTGGGAGTGGAACCGATCATGCAAGAGCGAGTGTGACTGCTTCTGGCTGAGAGAAGAGCAGGACTCTGGACCTGAAAGCAGGGAGTTGTGGGCTGTGGGAGAAGTGGTGGGGTCAGTAGGAGATGAGAAGTCCCTGGAGGGGTGTGGCATCATCCAGTTTACAATCTTAAGACTTACTCCGGTTGTTATAGGAGGGCCTGGAGGGGGCAGAGGTTAGAATCTGGGACTCCAGTGAGTTTCCCACACTTGTCTGGGTGAGAGATTCTGGTGGCCTTAACCTTGGAGGGTGACAGTGAGGAGGGTGGGAAGTGGGCAGATCTGTAATATCTGAGGGAAAGGGAGGAAACAAGGGTGATACTTGTGGTCTGTCTTGAGCCTGTGGGTGGAGGGAGGGTCGTGGCCTGTACTGAGATGGGAACAACTTGGGATAGGGTGGTCTGACTGGTCTGGCTGTGTTGTTTTGGATGTATTGAGTCTGAGAAGCCTGTGACACCTCTAAGGCAACCTGGAACTTGGGGTAGTCAGGACAGAAGCAAAAAATCTGGGCGTCATCTGTGCGGAGGATTGGGGTGGGAAGGGCTGATCTTGATGGGACAGGGCTAACAGCTGGGGGCGGGAAGGAGTGGAGGGAGAGGAGGGGGCTCTGGGCTCAGGCCCCACAGGCTGCAAGGAGGGTGGGGGAGGCAGGCCCCCCATCACGTTATGATCCCCAGCTGACTGCGCTGCTCTGTTTCAGGACATTGACATCAATACTGACGATGAGCTGGATGCCTACATCGAGGACCTGATCACCAAGGGGGACTAAGGGGCTTGGAGCCAGAGATCAGCTCCCCTGCTTCTCAAGGCACAGCTCTCGGGTGGGGGTGCGGGGAGCTGTTTCATTAATGGGTTGGTGGACTTAGTTTGACACACATGGGACATTTGTGCTTTTTGGAGGGAAAAAAACTCTGATTCTTTAAATCTTCCTCCCTAAGTTTATAAATATTTATTTTTTAAAAGAAACAAGATGCTGTGCCTGCTGTGAGACTATACTTTTTTTTTTTTTTTTTTTTTTGTGACTCTGGGGCAAAGAACGGAGAGCCAGAATGTCAAGCTTGAGCAGCTCCTCTCAGCTCCTGGCTCCTCAAGATGTGGCAAGTCCAGCACCATCCATAAGTTGGAGAGGTTCTATGGGCAGGGTTGGTTTCTCTCCTAGAGGATGAATAATGTTGGGGTCCTGAGGGATAGGGGAGGGAGAGAGCTCCCTGGTGTCCTGCCTCCCCCAGGGGTTCTGACCCAGGGGACACCCAAGGGATTATGGGTCAGAAGGAGGTTTGGCACTGAGTGGCTTCTATCTCAGATCAGTGGCTTTAAATAGGTTGGAGAAAAAAAGATCCTCTTGTTCAATCTTAGCATCCACCACCCAAGTTCTCACTGCTGGAGTGATTTCCTCAAGTTTAAGCATTGACAGTGAGGTTTCCTGCCTCAGTAACTTGAGGTTGAGGAGTAGGCAGATCCGACACTGGTCAGACTGTTGACCTGGGTATTATAACATCAAATGTTTGAATTGCAAAGGATTTATTTTAAGAGAGGACATTGTGTGTGAAAGAGCCCCTGGTACCGATGTGGTGGTGGCCTCCGTCCATGGTGTGGCAGGGTCTAGAGCCTGTTGCTCTTTCTTCCTGCTTCCTCTCTGTCCTGCACCACCACACTCAGTCAAGGTCCCTGCTGTGGGGCTGACGGAAGGGTCTCTGAGCCACACTCACCCACAGGTGCAGGAGGTGGGCCCCAGGTTCTCCTGAGGCATACCACGCCTTTCCCCGTCAGTCACCGCCTCATACAGCTGTGTCCCTCAAAAACTTCTCAGGGTCAAATACAAAGGCAAGAGTTGCTTTAATAGCTATTGGGAAAGTTCTGGTTTGATTCCCCATCCCCCAACTCTTCTTTCCAGTCTTTTATTTGGGGACTTTGGGGTTTCTGAAGGCCATGTACCACTGGTCTCTGGTTCAAACCAGCATGTACCCACCCCATGTCAGCAGTGGCCCATATGCTGCCCTTTGAGGTCTGCGTAAGATGAAGCACTGGAGAGGGAAGCAGGCCACACTGCACAGGAGTCTTTATCCACTTGTGCACATGCCCAGAGGCACGTATGGCATGTGGGTTTTGGACTTCCCCAAACTACATCCCTGGGAGAGGGTTGTTTGGAGGAAATACCATTGGGACCCACCCTGGCTTCCTCTGGGAGGTTGAGTGTCTTGGGATGTCTTGAGCTGGTGATTCCTCCCCTGTCCAGCTCTCTCCATCCCAGGCAGCATGTGGTCCATTCTTGTCCCCAAACCTGTTTTAATCTAAAAGGAAGTTGGTTCTGCATTTTTACCAGAGGGTAATACTCAAGTTTTTTATTTACACATCTGTAATCAAAATGCAATACTATAAACTTTTACTGGTGAGACTCCTGAACTCAGTCTGTTTTCTTCTCTTAGTAAAATTCAGCACCTTCCTCCTCTTCATTCTTTCTATCATGACACTTTTAAACTGTCTTCAAATTCTTTATCTCTACCATCTTCATTGTTTTCTGTCTTCATCCTCAACACCCACAGAAACTGAAATACTGAATTTCTTTAATGTTTTACCTTCGACTTCTGGATGTGCCCACTGTGCTGACTGCCACCTGTTACCCAGGAGACTTCCTGCCTTTTCTTGGTGGGAAGATAAAATGCAGAGGTCCCTTCCTCTGCTTGGTCTTGGAATAGTTGACCTGCTTGGGAGGAGGGAGGTCGTCTGGCTGATCTGTGGCAGGAAGGACCCTCCTTAGTTTAAGTCAGCAAACAGGTGAAGGAGTGCAAACCGGTGAAGGAGTACAGCAACCCTTGTTAAGGAGTGGGGGTGGGGGTTTACCTTTAGTCTTTTTTTTTTTTTTTGACACATGGTAAAAATTCTAACAGTACAAAAGGCTGGATCATGAAAAGCAAGGTTTCCTTCTACCCTGATCCCCATCTTCCTGGAGACAGTATCCAGTCTGAGCACAGAAATATACACCCATTCTGTTCTGTTTCCCACTTAGTGTTATCTTGGAACCTGTTTCAGAATAGCCCATATGGATCTATGTTATTCTGAACAACCACATAGCACTTCAGTGACTCGGATGTACTGTCATTTGACAGTCCCCTATTTATAAACATTTCAATTTTTAACATTTAAGAAAATGCCATGATGAGTGTGTATATATTCATTAACTCATCTGTCTGCACGTAGGATAAATTTTAAAGAGAAATGGCTGTCAGATGGTGGATGTATTAAAATTCTAAGCTACATTCCAGAAGAGAATTCCAATTTCAACTACCAACAGTGTATTTCCCCCACCCACTTGCCAGCATGCAGTCTCTTTACTAGTCTGAAAGGTGAAAAGTGAAGGTTTTTTAGTTGAACTAATTTAAGTGAGATGGAATATCTTCATTGGCCAGTTGTATTTCTCTTCTGGTACAGGCTGTAATTCTGAATCTGGTTAGGGACTTTACAAAAGTTTACAAAAAACATGAAAAACAAGGGGCGAATGTCTCAGGAAAATGTCTACCTTACATGATCCCCCTCCACCCCTAAGTGTCCCATGGATTTATGATTAAAAACTAAAACTCCACTTTAGGATTAATACTGTTTATTACCAGATCAGGACAAGGTTTACCAAAGGAAGGCATGGCTTAATAACAGGCTGAGAAATAATCCATCTGAATGACAACACTTTCCGGCTCCTCTTGCTGGGTCCAGTTCCCTGTTAACATGACTCAAACTTGTAGTTAAAGCAGTGTTAGCCAAGAGTTCACAGCTCTAGACCCATAAGTAAATCTGACGAAGCTCAAACATACTTGCCACGTACATAAAACACAAGGTTTTGTCTAAGTAGGGGGTACTTCCACTGGCTACTTGTCCCTTTTGGAAGGTGGTTCTGCAGCTGGCCCAGGTTGTAAGGGGTTCATTGGTGGTCACCAAGGTGCCAGAAACATCCTCAGAATTCCACTGGAGGGTTCTGTCTTTGTTAGAGATGGAAGCTTTGAGGCCTCCTTTGGAACCAAGAGGCCACATTGCTCTTGGTTCCATGAGCAGTTTTAACAGCTGGCAAGGCCATGGGAGGTAGAGTTCCTTCTCAAGCAACATGTTTTCTCCACTGAGGCATCTGAAGCCTCAGACTCATTCTCAGCACTGCTGGGGGCACTGTCTCTTTAGTAAGCAAAACAGACTGGACAGATGAAGGGTGTGGCTGGCAAGGCGCATCCTGTTTAACAATGAGCCAAGATGTTAATAAGCCTGTTTTATTAATTTTTTTTCTGTTACCACTTATCCCCCCTATATCCTCTTCTACTCTGCCCCGCTTCCTGGCCAAGCCTGTTTCTCATTCTGGCTATTTTCATTTGGTAACTTGGAATGTGCCAGGCCCAACTAGGGCTCCTGGTAGGTGCTACAGAACCTTCCTTGGAACTCTGAAGGCTTCAGACAAATCACTGCCCCCCTGGTTTCCCATTACTCTTAAAGGAATCAGAACAGTACAGGTTTCCCAGCTTTTTTTAGCCACAGGGCCAGTTCTCCACCGGAAATTTATCCAGAGGTCCATATAAATTGCCAATCGTCTGGACTTGGTGTGGTTGAAGTTGGAATAGTGGCCCACAGCCCCTTGCTGCCCTACCCCCCAATCTTTGTATCCAAGATTCACTGGTCTCCATCTGCTACCTGTAGGTCTTCCACTGCTTCCTCAACCCCATGGCCATCCTCATGGCTTTTTTTTTTTTTTTTAAATCCTCACCTGAGGCTATGATTTTAGAGAGAGGAAGCAGGGAGAGAGTCACACATTGACTGGTTGCCTCCTCTACGTGCCCCAACCAGGGATCAAACCCTCAACCTTTTGGTGTACAGGGCAACACACCAACCAAGTGAACTACTGAGCTAGAGCATCCGCATGGCCTTTTAACCATTTGGCCAGTTTCAGTATCTCCTAAGGGTGAGGTGGGTGCAGCTTTCACCCAGCCTCTGGGCCTGCACCTGAGGTGGTAATAATGGGGCTCTGACATGCTCAACAGCTGCCAGCCAAGCCCTGGAGGATACGGAGATCCCGCCTACTACTGAGGCAAACGGATCAGTGAGAAGGGAAGGATCCGAAGGACACATTCCCTCCTTTCTTGTCCACTCTGGTAAGATACTTCCGTGAGATTCTTTGGAAGCACTTCCTTCCTGAACAACTGCAGGTTTCTTGGGAAGCTGTGGCCAGCTCTAACCCTCCACTTAGAATTTGCCCCTCCTTCCCCACCATTATGCTCCAGAGAAACTCTGGACTCTCACTCCCCTCCCCAGTGCCCTACCATTTAAACCAATCTTGTTAATGGCTGGGTTTGGGTTGCGGCGGTGGGAGGAGAGCCATATTAGAAGGAAGTGAGTTTTGAGTTCGCAATGCTAAATTATAATACAACATGAGCCTGAGGGCTGGCTTCAGTCTCTCACCTGGCCTATAGAGCATGGCTAAGACCCAGTCATCTCTCCAGAGGTTTTTCGGGGGTATCCAACGCTCATTCGTACTGGGGTCGGCCTTCTCCGGACCCCCAACACTTGTGCTCTCCGAGGACTTCTACTTACACCGCTTTAGACCCTCCAGACGGGTGCGCAACGGCGCCTGCGTAGTGTGGCTACTCCGCAGGTGCTGCTGCGTCCTGCGCACGAGCCTTGGAAGCCACGGGCGCCCGCCCACGTGGCACGTACTTGGTGGGCTGGTGTCCACGCCCCTTCACGCCCCAGCACAGGTGCCAGGAGAGCGCCCTGAGCAGACTCGGCATGAGAGGCAGGCAGCAGGACCTGAGGTCGGGTGCCAGCGTCCCATTGAGCATGACTTGACTTCAGGGCCAGCCTGGGGGCAGCAGCCGTAAGGGTCTCCTTACATCCCAGGGCAAGTGGAAGGCCTTGCAGACCCGATGGCTGGCTCACACTCCAAGAAAAATGGAGAATTTTTTCCTCTGGCGTTTGCGTATTAACATTGAGCGCAGATGAAAACTTTTACCTGGATTGTTTTCCAACTTTTTTTGGTCGCTACAGAAAACATTAAAAAAGAAAAAAGGTTATCCTTAAGGTGTGGTGCTTCCATATCTGCAGGATAGAAGACCTGGAAAGGAAGCTGCATGCTTTACATTGTAAAAGAGACATCTCCAGGTAAGTTTCCTTGAAGGTCCAGCCTGCATATAGCCTGTTGACTCCTCTCTGCAATGGCTGCCTCTTTGTTTCACAACCTTGGCTCCTTTTCTACTGATTTGTCCTTGGCTTGGTGTATGGTGTTTTTTGAAAGGTAAACATTTTAGGTTTGGGGGGTTTCCTATCATGATTTAAAATATCTTGCCACCCCCACCCCACCCTATAGCATTCTCTTAACATTTTGTTGAAATGTTTTTAAGTTTTTGTGTCGACCCCCACTCCTTGTGGAGCATATTTCAGTAAAAATGGGTAAAGCAGGAGTCAAAGCTTTGTTTTTTGTTTGTTTTCCCAGATGGAAATTCACTTATGCCAGCTTCATTTATTAAATGAACTACCTTGGTCACTATTTATATTCCACTCTGTTTGATTTTGGGTCTGTTGGGTTTAAGATACCCTTGAGGTCAATGGGGAGACATCCTGATATTGGTTGGATGGGCAATTCCTATGTGAGGGGTGAGATCCTACCTGAAACTAGAATTTTGGACATCATCAGTATCTAGATGGGTCAATCCCCCTATTTTTATTTTTAAGATAGTCTTCTAGGGTATTCTTAGAATTTGGTCTTTCACATGAAATTTAAAATCACTTTAATTCTCTCCCATTCTTGCCCAAACCAAAAATTATATTGGGATTTAAATAATTATATTAAATTTAGATGTAAGTTTTGGGGGACTTGATATTTTTATGATCCTTAGAACTCTCCAGACAATAAAAAAATGGTTTCCATTTGTTAGAGTTTTTTTAGGTTCTCCAATATGATTTTATACTTTCTCTATATGGGTTCTATAACTTTCTCATTAAACTTATTCCTAGTATTTTATGGCTTTTGTTATTGTGAATGGGATATTTTTCCCGATTTTAACATCCTGATTTTAATATAGAGAAAAGCTAATGATTTAATATAATCTATTTTCTATTTTATGAACTCTGGTAGTTTAAAAAAAACACCTGTGTTTTATAGGCATAATCTGTTGATTTGTCAGTATACCACGTTAGTTGCTAGTTTGCTTTAGTTAGAACTCTGAAATCACATCAAATAATCATCCGTGTCTTGTTTCCAATGCAGATTGAAGTCCACATGTGATGTGGATAGAAATCACATGTTAATAATTGAGCAGGCCCTGGCTGGTGTAGCTCAGTGAATTGAGCTCAGGCCTGCGAACCAAAGGATTGAGGTTCGATTCCCAGTCAGGGCACATGCCTGGGTTGCAGGCCAGTTCCCAGCAGGGGATGCATGAGAGGCAACCATACATTGATATTTCTCTCCCTCTCTCCTTCCCTTCCCCTCTAAAAATAAATGAATAAAAAATCTTAAAAAAAATAATTGAGTGGGATGTCAGCTATTGGTTTCTGCAAACAGCCT